GGACTAGAAATTATGGGAGGAATTTCCCAAGCAAATAATATCTATTCTCTCCATTTTGGGTGTAGGTACATAATTCACTGCATCTGTACATTTGCATTTAGATTAAACAACCACCTTTGTATACTGGTCCCATCTCACTCCTCTACCTCAATCTTCTCCCCCTCTCATAAAAATCAAGCTGTGTGTACTATCTTCTAGATGATTATAGTTGCCTAATCATAATTTTAGCAAAGGAAATGAGCACTTTCTTCATCATTCAAACAAACAGAAAAATATCAGATATTAATAAGCACAGTACCCACTTCCCCGGACATGTTTCCATCCAAGGAACAAAATGATTGGGTTCAGGACATATTTACTAGTTCAGTGGTTTCTGTCCTCCTAAGTTATTTTTGTCACTGAGATGTATATAAAGTATACTTTCTGGGGAAATGCATTAAAGATAATTGTCAAAACTCAAGAGTTGTTTCAACAAGACTATTTTGCCTACCTTTAGCAAATAAGAATCAAATTATTTTGAAATATGCACAAATTATACAATCAGGAAAATTACAGAAGGGAAAATTTAAATAGCTAGTAAAGTTATAAAAGACGTCTTAACTCACAGGTAATCAGAAATGTAAATTAAAATGTCATAATACAATATACCATTTAACCTGCTCTGAATGAGAAAATTAAGGTCTGAAGATATTATAAGTTGGGTGAGGATGTGGAGAAAGGAAAACACTCATTTACCACCACTTTGGAAATCAAATCAGCATTTCCACTTCCAAGTGCATACCCTAAAACTCTCCACGTGTGCAGAAGAAATGAACAAAAATGTTTCCTGTAACATCGTTAACAATAAGAAAAAATTCGAAAGAACTTAAATGACCACCAACAGGAGAATGGATAAATGTTAATATTCAAAATGGAATAGCATCCAACCAGGACAAACAAATGAATAAAACTATGTGTAACAAAGTGGATATAATTCAAAATTAGTCAAAATGAAAAAGTTGCAAAACAATAATACATGTGTGAGACTATTATATAAAGATTCAAATCTGAAAGTAATACTATATGACATTCATGTCAAAGGATGCAAAAATATGCAGTAAAAGTATAAAAACATTCATAAGAAAAACACTCAATTCATGATAATGATGACCTCTTTATAGGAAAGAAGGGAAATGAGGAGACAAGGAGCCTCATCCATATCTGTAATCTTTTATTTTTTCAAAAAATGATCTAAAGTGAATATGGCAGAACATTATTATTTAATAAAGCTAGGTAAGTACATTAGAGTTTGCTATATAATTTTCTACTCTCGGCTGTACATTTGAAATACACTGCTAAAGAATGCGTAGGAGAGAGAAAGCAAAAGAAGGAAACAGATATTCCTAGGTAACACCATGTCTGTAGGGTAGGAGATCAATCACCAAGCAAAAGGTTGGGTGCTCAACTCAAGTGGACTTCATCAATCCAGGAGCCATGTCTGCAGGAGGTTTCAGATTCACTTTTGCCAAGAAGCTAACAACCCTGGGAGGCTCTGACTCAGTCACTGTCCTTTCTGTAAGTCACCTAATTCCTTCATTTGGATACACAATGATGGCACCCGCTCCATGGTTGATAACCAAAGGTTCCCAAAGGTAACCACCAGCTATAACCAGGCACATCACTTCTGTCCTCTGTCAGAAATCTTCCTCTTTAATGTCATGAAAATCCCTATGATTCATTCTTTGTAGCCTACAACCAATTGTTTTCTTCCAAATGTGTCTCAACCAGTTTAAGCTAAACACATCTTCTGTCTATCTCTGGACTCTTAAAACAAATTGTCTGGCATTGATTATTACAAAGAACACAAAGTGATTTTGTGAATTGAAAGGGAGAAATCAGGATAAAGTGATACCATAAATCAAGGCATAAAATTAAGTCCTTTTCCTGCATCAAAACTTAAAGACTCCCTCCAAAAGCCCCTTCCATAGAAAACTGATTTGTTGGGGGTGGAGAAGGAAGGTCCTTCTGTCAGAACAAAAATACTGAACATAAGAAAAGGGTGACTGGGAAACAGTTTAAGCAGCATTTTGCATTATTATAACCAATATTCTGTATTTTGTGATAGTTCCCATAGGATATGTAGAAAATAAAATATAGCGATATTTTTAACACTGAAATTGGAATCAGCCCCTCTATAGTTTGTACCACAGGAATTTAGACAGTAAAAACATACGGCTCTAAAAAACAAAAATGGCTATTAGGAAAACTAAACAACATTCTTTTTTATTGGTCTCTTCCATTGGTGGCCATTGAGCGCCAATCTTACTAGGGACAATTAGTGTAATTATACAAGCAGCATCTGATGTGCTTTTATTCTCTTTCAATCTTTAACATATGTAAGAAAATAAAGATCATTTTTATGGGACAGGGATTTCCTCTGAAATAATACAACCATAAAATGATACTAATAAAACAGTAAGTATGGCAGCTAACATGTTTTGAGCACTTACTATGAACCAGCCACTGTTCTAAGGTCTGTTACATGTATTATATCATTAATTTCAGAAGAACCCTATAAAGCAAGTGTTGCCTCAGCTCCGTTCCATAGATGAGGTTCTGAGGCACAGAAAGGTAGCAATCACTATACTGAGTCCCATCCAAACAAGGGACTTTGAGTAAGGAATGGAGAGCGATCATTATTTTCCTGGATGAAGACTGTAACTAAGGAAAACACGTTTCCTTGCCAAAACATCTTTATGCATGTCTATATGCACTAAACCTGTAAGAAAACATACTTGATTATAATAACAATCATTACATCAAATAATTTGATTAAAAATATCTAACAATATCCACACTATTTAGCACCTGGTTTCTAGACACCATACCAATGTCTTAACACAATGGTCCGTAACAGAAAAGCCGATGACTGACAGAAGCTTTTTCCCAATGCTAGGAAGCACTCAGGTCAGCCCTGGTGGTCTAGTGGTTAAGATTTGGCCCTCTCACCACTGCGGCCTGGGTTCAGGGACCCACACCACCCATCTACCGGTTGTCATACTGTGGTGGCTGCGTGTTGCTGCAATGCTCAAAGCTATGCCGCCGGTATTTCAAATATGAGCAGGGTCACCCATGGTGGACAGGTTTTAGTGGAGCTTCTAGACTAAGACAGACTAGGAAGAAGGACCTGGTCACCCACTTCCAAAAAAACTGGCTATGAAAACCCTGTGAATAGCAACAGAGCATTGTCTGATACAGCGCCAGAAGGTGAGAGGATGGTGGAGAAAGACCAGGCAGGGTTCCCTCTGCTGTCCACAGGGGCGCTAGGAGTCAGAATCCACTCGATGGCACTAACAACAACAAGGAACTATTTGGAGCAATTCAAAACAGAATTGACAGTAATAGTTTGAAAGTGGGCTATTAATAAGACAAATTACACCTAATGATAAAAAGGTAGATATGAAAAAATAAACTTATTGGAAGGTAAATTTTACTTAGGCTTAAATTACTTTGAAAGGGAGCTGAATTCATTCTAGTGGGATGGTTACGCCTAGTAAATTTTTTATTTATCTTGATAAGGATTTGAAACAATGGTATAACTATTTTTGTTCATCCCCAAGAAGAGCTAAAATTCCACTAAGGTTTTAAATGGCTCCAAACATGCTGCTTATTTAAGTAAAATCAATGCTTTTTTAAAAATTTTAATCAAATCCTCATCATTTCTGGGTGAAAAGCAACTTAGGCCCATCTTACCTGACACCCAGGGAGTTTGAGCAATGGCTAGAGGTCAGGGAGAGACAGGTAGGCAGTGACTGCCATTTGCATTCTCATGCAGTTCAACTAGTTTCCTTTCTCCCATCATTCTAGTAACACAGGTGAAAAAAGGAATCATTTCTAAGAATGCATAACTAATTCCCCAGCACATCCCCCAAAATCACTAAGGGGACTAATAAATGCAGAAGTACCATAAGTTATCGCTGGAGATATGTCTAGAAAGTGATCCAAAATACAAAGAATATTTCTAAAAGCATTAGAATTTCTTCTCCTTTGAAAGTTTTGTGGTTTTTCCTAGAGCAGGATGCACTTGGAGATTGGCTCCTTCCTTTGAGGATCACAAAAGAACCTAACTCATAGGGCTGTTCTGGGATCTAGGATAACTACCACATTTAAAGTGCTGGGAAGTGGTTTGGCAAATAGTAAGTGCTCCATTAGTGCTAGCTGCTATTATCATCATCGTCACCATCAAAATAGTGCCATTTTTTCAGAAAAAGTGGAAAGTACAAAAAGTATATAGAAACTAGAAAAAGAAGTCATAATCTCACCTCCCTCTTTTTATTTTAACGTATTTGTATAGATTCGTGGGTTTCACTTATCTATACTAAGTTGTGTGTGCTTCCACGACTGTTTTGTTAAACAATCACTGTCATCTAAAAGTTAAAGAAAATTGGGTTACAGGGTCTAAAGATATATAAATCAAGAATTAAATTGAAGGTATCCATATACTGACTGTTATTTGTGATGTAACTACTGTCTGCTACAGACTTTATTAAGTATACACTAAAAGTAGTCCGCGCAGGGCGCTGCAGGACAAAACCTAAGAAATACTAGGGCTTCCAAGACACAACCTCAGAGAAATGAATCTAGTAATAATACATGAAAGTAGAGCTGACAGGAGTACAGAATATGGTGGTAATTATAACAGGGACGAGCGCTCAGAGAAGGTCACTTCAAGGATAAAGGCCTGCTCCTTCTAAGTGACTAGAAAGTCATTAGCTCTTCTTTTTGTTTTAAGGCATATTTTTAATGAGCATAAGACATTTCGAGCAGTTGTTTGATCAATGACAACACTAAAGTACAACAGAGGGAAGGTATTTATCAACCTGTATGAGAGAGAGTCCCACACTCACCCAAGAATACAGGGAAACACACACAGGAAGCGTATGCCACCACCCCCTCAACACTCATCCGCTGCTAGAGGAAGTAATGAAGGCAGAGGACTCCATGGCTGGATCCAGACAAACCTGTTGGAAGGGTCGAGTCTGGGCTTGCCTGAGGAGCCGCTGCTGCTGCTGCTGCTGCTGCTGCTGCAGAAGCTTCATCTGTATCAACTGCTGCTGCGAAGTGAGGGCGTGGAGGGCAGGCGGCTGCATCACAGCGCCCGAGCGCCGCTGCAGCATGTTCGACAGGGCCTGCTTGGTGTTGGTCGGGACAAAGGAGCCTGCAGGGTCCAATCGGGAGCCACCTACAAAAGCAACCAGAGGAAGGGCTTTCTACTCATGTTAATGCATCAGGTCTTCCTTATTTTACCAAACCGCAGAAACCTCCATGTCTAAGCCTCACTTTGTGAAGCAAAATGGAAAATAAAGCACTGCCCCACCATGTGCAAATATGAAAGATCGGTTAAGACGGATAATTCCCAAAGGATGGGGAGGGCGATGCAGGAGTGAATTATAATATTTGAATGACTTTCGCGGAGGGCCCATCTCAGTTGACAAAGTAAAACGCCTGAAACCCAAAGTCGCTGGCATAATTTTGGAATCACGTGGACTTTAACTTATGCAAGGCTCTCAGGAACATAATACTTGTGTAAAATGTGTTGCCATCATGGTGTGTTGCTCCAAGTGTCCTAAGCCAGGCACAGAAACTCTTTTGTAATTTTAAAGAAATTTGGAGATTATGATATTTAAGCTTCTTTACCGTGGCAAAATGAAAACACCCATTTTGTAGTAGAGAGGCATGAAAATACTTTAAAAACTTGACATGCTTGGAAACTTCAAATACCATGATTCTAAAGACAAAATACATCTTATTGGAAAGCTAGAAATTAAATAAGCAAGAAATATTGATCATAGTGACTTAAGAAACCAAAGGAAATCCTTAACATATTTGCATATATAATTTGTCAAATGCCTGTAAGAGTTAGGGAAAAAAAATTTTCAACATTTGCTGGGTTCAAAGTAGATGCCGACCCTTCATTCTCCAGATAGTCTATACAGTCATGCGTCGCTTAACGACAGGGACACGTTCTCAGAAATGCGCCGTTAGGCGATTTTGTCATTGTGCAAACATCATAGAGTGTGCTTACACAAACCTAGACGGTATACCACTGCTGTATATGTGGTCCGTCGTTGACCAAAATGTCGTTATGCGGCGCATGACCGTAGAAGCATTTCCATTTTACAGATGATCAAGCTGAGGCACAGAGAAATTAAGGCTTGGCTGAGGTTACAGAGCAAGAGAGTGGTCAAGCCAGACTTGACCCAGAACTGCAACTCCCAGACCAGCTTCTTAACTGCTAATTTAGAGGACAAAATACGGACTCCCCCCTGCTGTAAGCCACGAATCAACTACTTTCTTCCCTAGGCCTCAAAATGTCATAGTTAACTTACAATAAAAAATCACAAAATAACACAGAATACAAGACGTAAAAATATCCTGTTAGAATGGCACATCCTAACAAAATGCAGACTGAGATCTCAAAATAATCTATTTTGCTAAAATATGCAAACTTTCATTTGGAAAGAAAATTAAATTATTTTCTAATTCAGAGATTATTTATTTAGAAAATCTTCATTCCACGTACAAAATCTACTTGAGCCTGAATCAAAGCAACACTAAAATCAGGAACATTTACTATGGATGTGGTAGTTTTCCTTGTTGATATCTAAATCTACTTGCTGAACCAAATTTCTGAGACCCTTCATGGTATAAACAATTTAAAATTCATAACAAAAAAATAATAAAAAAACACTGTGCAATATTGTGTACGCTCTTAAAATGCTGACAAAAATTATAACTGATAAAAATGTACACAAATTTCACAGCATAAAACTTTGATCAACTTTTTATCTTATAGCTTAGATTTTTATCAGTGGCTAATTGCCTTCTAACACTGGATGAAAATTCCAAAATCAGCACATAAAACTCATAACTGAGGGGCTGGCCCCGTGGCTTAGTGGTTAAGTGCTCGCGCTCCGCTACTGGCGGCCCAGGTTCGGATCCCAGGTGCCCACCAACACACCGTTTGTCCGGCCATGCTGAGGCCGCGTCCCGCATACAGCAACTATAAGGATGTGCAACTATGGCATACAACTATCTACTGGGGCTCTGGGGAGAAAGGGGGAAAAAAGGGAGGAAGATTGGCAATAGATGTTAGCTCAGGGCCAGTCTTCCTCAGCAAAAAGAGGAGGATTGGCATGGATGTTAGCTCAGGGCTGATCTTCCTCATACACACTCACACAAAAAAAACTCATAACTGAAACCTTATTTTAGAAGTAAAAACATTTTGAATGGAGAGAATTACATAAATGTCAGCTGAGCGCTCAGTTCTTGAAATTTCCAAGTCTTGTGGAGGTTCAGGTTAAAAGCAAAGAGAACCCCAACCTACTTCTCATCTCAGAGGGACCACTGTGCTCGCTCTTCACGTACCTGGAGTGAGAGACTGGTTCTGAAGGAAAAATCCGGGTTGCTGGGGCTGCCCCATGAGGTTGTAGCCCCACAAGGCGGACTGTGGATGGTGCATCATCTGGGAGGAAATGGGTGAGTAATTAGGAGGCACCCTGTACATGCTGCTCTGTGGATACTCCTTCAACATAAAGTTAAAAAAAGAAAGTTACTTAATGCCACACACCACACACATGATCAATGCAAGGTCTTCCTATCACGTGATCTGAGATAGCTCCTATCCCAGCGGACAAGGCTATTTCCATAAAATGGAAGATGGAAGACAACAGTCTCAATACATTCTCTGCAAAACACTCATTTAAGTTAAAACTTTTCCTTAACTTAAAAAAGTACTTGGCTACAGTGGGGGAGAGATGGAAAAGGATCTTTTCTGAACTCTATTTTTAAAATACTAAAAGCGCGTGTTTAGAATACCAATATCGACAACCACCCACAGCTAAAAAAAGCAAACTCAAGTTGCTAAGTCTCCTGATCATCTCATCTTAGAAGGCACTCCTGATACCTTGGGTCTGGACAGGAATTATGCCAGAAAGGCCACAAGACTTCAGAACCAGTCCCTAGCCCAGACACTATCTTAGTTCTGATTTTCCAGACAGCGCTCTACAGAAGTAGATGCCTCCCCTGTATCCTGCACCCTCCTCCCCCGCCTCCCGCCCAAGGCTTCCTCTTCCTCACGGCAGCTCTAAGTCTCTACGGATCACACCTGAATGTCTCAACTCACTCACATCCCTCCTTCTCCGGTCTAGCCCTCAAGATGGAAGGAAAAATAAAAGCTCCGTTCCCTGCAGTATATCCCACTAGGAAGACGCAGTTTCAGGAGTAGTCTAAGAGGAAGGGACGTGACGAGGACTCACTTGGGGATTGAGATGAGTTTTAAGACTTTTTCATCTGAAAGGAACAGAAACCCATCTATGTGGACTGACAGGTTAGGAGACCTCAGATTTTGGGGACTGGCAGTCTGGGCCTTATGGAGCCCCACTTCGAGACAAAGGAATATTGGAAGGAAGATCATATGAGAAGAGGGCACTGAAGTTCAAGTGGTATCCAAAAATGATGGCAGTCATTTCTAGAATATTAATCACCCAGCTACCAACTAGGAAAGATATGTTTTTGTTTTGACATAGGTGAATAATAACAATAATTAGTCATGATGCCGGAATACTAAATTGTGAATCTTTCTTCTACTGTACGAAAAAAAACACCCTTGAATTTTATAGAAAAATGTCTCAAATTCTCTCTCAAGTATTTTCCAGGTGAATTTAAATAAAAAGATATTTCAACATTAATTCTATCAGTTGTATAAAATTACTTCTAAATTACCCTCTCATAGATTTCTGTTGTATTCAAGAAAATGTTGCTATAGGTAGGGAAAACCAATAGGGAAATGAGAAGTGAAACTATTTTAAGTTATGTTTATCTTATCTTTTCTAAAGTCTGAAAATATGGTAAAGAAGTAGAATATACAAGAGAGTAAGACGGAATGGTAAAATATGAAATCTCTGAAACATCCTATTGCATATATTAGATGAGCTTTATCTAGGGAAAAGCAAATAGAGCTTTTTATGTTAATTTACTACAGGTATCAACTGCCCCAAATACAATAAATATTTTAGACATGCCGATAATGAAAATATCTAAGAGGATGAGATTTTCTAGGTCTAAAAAAATTCAAGTTTCAAATCTGAGAAATTATGAGGCACTGAAATTTTAAGTAAAGATTATTCACAATGGAAACCTGAAATTAAGCAAAGTTATGAGAAGTAGAGGAGGAAAAATCAAAGCGACAACCCTGTCGTCTGTGACAAGTCACTGTTTACGTGCCATTCTCTTAATTACAACAGAGCTTTGGTGGGATAACTGGTACAGAACGGCTTCCGCTCTCTGAGCAGTGTTCCTAGCAATATAATCTGCGCCCGAGTGAATCTCCTACCGGGTGCCTACGAGCCCAGGATCTCTCTACTCCCGTACGTACGTCAGCTCTGGAGCTGGATTTCATCTTGCGTTTCCTTCCCTTGGTTTTCTTCTCTTCGTCTGCTGTGGCTTTCCCCTGATCCGAAAGCTCAGCCGATTTCCTCTCCGGTTCCTGAGAGACAGGAGACGTGGGCTCCTCCTCTTCCTCCTCAGGAGGCAGGGGCAGCGGCTCGAGGTAGTAACTGCGGGGCTTGGGCATGGGGTGTGTGTGATACAAAAGGAGGTGATGCTGCTCCTCGTACTTCACCACCTTTCGGTCCACTCGGACAGTCCCGAACCAGGCCCAGGACAGAGGGGCTGGGTTCCTCTGACCCTCAAACAAGTCCCACGGGGACACCTTCTGCTTTGTAGAGACCTGGAGACCCTGTGGGGAAATAATGCTCTGTGACCAAACGTTCAAATAGTTTCCTGATTCAAAGCCAGGCTTGCTCAGGACATGGACTCACAGAACATTCTGGCTGGGGTGGGCCTTCGAGAACCGGAGCACACAGCCCACAGGCTAACCAGTTAGTCAGGGTTACACAGGTAGGTCTCTGGGAGCAGCAGCTAGAACTCACATCTTCAAGTTCAGATCTACAGTTCTCTACACCCACTCTGGTCAGGCTGTAACACCAGATAGCCCAGTATATTTTATTGTAAGATGGCACTTTTTCATTCAGTTTTTTTTAGCCAAAAAAATTTCTAAAAAGCACTGCAAAGTTGAGCTTACTGTACTAAATTATAATCAATTATAAAACCTTTGGAATCTATTGCTTTTAAGATAAAACAAAACTTAAGAGTCAAGTTACATTCAGCCTCCAATTGGGCTCAAATTAACTTTAACTCAAACATGTATGGACTTGATTCAATATGGCGCCTTTCATGTACTTAATAAGCCAGTCTCTGAATAGCTAAGTAATATTACAGAATTAACTTGTACCAACAGGTACAAATAAAGTCCTTCAATTCAAGTTTATCTCTGTCGATTCTAGAAGAAGAAATGTTATTCTGTTTCTGAAAATAAAAGCTTTTTATTTTTAACATTAATTGGTGATGTCCCTTGGTACTTTCCATGGCATATCAATATTTTCTTCAAAACGACACCAAAAATAACTACTCAGGCATTCCATAAGACAGGAGCTCCTGTTCTTATCTACACAGACTCTTCCATAGGTGGCTTCATCCAAAGTTAAGGCTCAGTTACCACCTGTATGTTGACAGGTTCCTAATATCTGCTTTGAGATTAGACCTCTGTCCTGGGTGCCAGGATCACATATCCAAATGGCTTCTAGATGTCTCACCACTAGAGAGCCCACTGGTACCACAAATTCAACTTGCCGATGACTCTAGCTTTTTCTCTCTGCAAACCACACTGGCAGAAGTACTGAGCGTACTCCAAATTACTGCAGCATTGTGTTTCTCCTACAAGCCCCATTCTCTCATGCCTTTCCACAAACTCTTCCCTTTCCTGGACCACACTTTTTCCTACCTCCTAGCCACCTCTCAATCCTTCAAAAGGATCAGTTGTCAGTTTTATGGGGACCCTTCTCTGACCTCTGACCACCTACCTCTCATTGGAAGGTGATGGCTCCTTCTCAGAATCCCCAACACTCTGTACCATGACACAGAACTCACTGTGTGGTAACTGTCTATCTTCTTCCACTTAGGGTAGGAGCCCTGTCTTTCACCGCTTTGATTTCAGAAATCTGCGGTGAAAGACAGGGCTCAATGTTCACTGAAAGACTGACTGAGCGCTCTTCTCATATTTTAGAGAACCTTGATTAATATCTGTACGTAAATCAAGTGTTCATTAAATATTTAATTGATAAGAAAATAAAGTACCATCACTTATAAAATATTTTTTATTCAAAATAGTTTACCACATGAAGACTTTTATCAATAAAAATTTTCTTATCTAAACATACGGTTTCCAATTCTGAAGTAAAATCAGACCTAGTCTTTCCTTTTTTTTTATACACTAAGCTTTTACTTAGTTTTCCCTTGGTGGGCTTCAGAAATTCACTACCATAAGGTACAGTTTTAAATGAAGATCTTCAAAGATTTGACCTATTTATATGACAATGCCAATGACCATTGCATTTAAATGACAAGAATATGCTTTAAAAAAAATCAAGAAACTGTAAAATTAAGATGTTTTATGTGCCCTATAGGAAGACAAGAAAATGTATTTTGTTTTTGTAAGTTCATGTATCTATATATGGGAGAAACAAACATTTACTCTTGCCTGTTTTTTATCTATGGAGTCGAACCCAGCGATCTTGTTTCCCTTCGTGTCGATCAAGGAGCCCATGGGCTCACAGGTGATGACGTCACACGTCTGTTTGGGCAAAGGCAGCAGCTGGCGGACTTTGTCGATACTTTCTGATCGCTTGTCTCCCAGCTCTTTCTAAAGAAAAAAGAGAGAAGTGAGACTGGAATTACAATGAAGGCAAAAGTTAACAAGAAGGAAGTTCCCCCACAAGACATTTCCCTTTTTACAGCTGGAATGTTCTTCAACCTTGAACATGGTCTCTGGTGCAGCTCTCAATTACCGCGGCGAATGTTTCATTTCTTCTATTTCAGTAGGAAACAGAGCACATATAAAGGCACCCTTGTGACACAACAGACATCACAGTGCTGAAATGACAAAAATCCAGGGCGGCATCTGCACCCAGAAGGCAGAAGCTGCAGCACAGAACACGTTCTGGAACCCAGGCTCAGACCGCAAGGTAACCATTGATTATTTTATTGGTGAGGTCTTCAGATATACACTGATTTTCTTTTCTGTGCCATTTGTTTACAGTGCATTTCAGAGGCTGTGTTAGCGGCTAGTCACATAAGTCGAGTTTAGAAATATGAGTGCAAATGGTTATTTTCCAATTGCATGTGCCAGTCCAAGCACAGATTCATCCTAAATGTGGTGGTGGCATTGGGTTATATATTTGATAATGGATTTCTCAAGTTCCTTGAAAAATTGAACATGTTTTGTGAATATAAATTTTTTAAAAGAAAAATCTCTAAGCTGTATGTTTATAACTTTTGGGTAGTGGTAAACTGAGGTAAAGCAAAAAGCAAAATAATCACATTAACTTGAATGCAATAAATAACATTTAATGTAATGAGTAGTAAATTAAAATAAAATGTACTAAGTAACAGACTCAAACACCATACACCGTAAGATAAGCAGGTCACAGACTTACCTTCAGTTTCTTTACTAGATTCATGTATGCACGTTTGTTCTCTTCAGACCCCCCGGGGGATGCGTTCGATAAGTCAGAGGCTAAGGTTCCATTGATTAAAACACCCAGCATGTCGAGAACTGTTGTGAACAATTCACTGTCAGGGAAAAGAAAATAATTATTTTCTCCTTAAAGCAAAACCAAGATATTCATAACTGAGCATTTTTATTTAAGGCACAGAATTTTTAATGGTATGTAAGAAAATAAGATGTGGCAGTTTGTAGTCAGTAGATCGAAGCTTCTAGCACACGCACGTGCAGCAAAATACAAGTGAACTGATAAGGACGTACTTGTTAGTGTGCATGTCCACGGTTCCGGAAGTAATGATCTGAAGGAGGAGGAGGGCCCACTCTGTTGTCCACTGTGTGCTCCTCTGCACCGTGTCAAACATTCCTCCCACCTAGCACATATATGACACAATCAAAAACCTGCATTGTGTCACAGAGAAAACCACCCCCATCACCTTATGTAGCCAAATTTTGATTAGCATATAAAAAAAGATGCTCTAGTTTATGGATTATCTTGTCTTCTCTCTCACCTAGCTAGATACCTGTCACTCTTTTTGGTTCCTGCAGCACAGGAACTGGTCATTCAAAAAAAAAGGAGAGTCCCCAGGTGTGGGCACATCATCAATATGAGTTATATTCTAGTATAAGTAGCTTTCTTTTGTTCCTAAACTTCCATGATATCCAGTTCTATAACATAATTTTAGTCCAATGAAATCTGAATAGGTCAAAACCACATACTCCAATTATCTACAACTTTGTGTTGTATTGAATCTATCGAATCTAAGCCTGCTGTCATAGTAACACCTGGAAACATCCAGTAACAGAGAAGGAAGGAGGAGCAGGAGGCCTGGCCTCAGGTCTAGGTGATCACGGGTGAGAACTAAGTTAAAATCAGCAGCCAAAGATCAGGCGGCCGTCCTCCAGAGGAGCCTCCATCGGGCTTGTCCGTGGAAAAGGAAAAGTCAAAGGAACACGCGATGTGTGAGGAATTTTAAATTTCTGTGCAACCTCCAGGTGGGATTTGTTTTTATGATCAGTGTGATGGCAAGCTTGATAAAACATGCTTTAAGTCAAAATTTTAATACGGTTTTTAAATAAGTGTGGTGAAAGCTAACACATCTCAAAACAGTAGCGCTCTAGGACCTCCTCTCAGCACAAACCGAAGAGCAGGAGAGATGCCCCAGGGAAGGGAGAGCAGAAGGGAAATCGATGCCTAAAATACCTACTGCCGACCTTAAGGCAAACCACGCAGGAAGGGCAGCAGCCAGGAAGAGAGAACGCTCCAGAGTCAGGGAGGTCGTGAGAGAGCAAACAGCAGGAGGCCTCACCTTGTGAGGAAGGCTGGGACCACAGTGGAGGGGCAGGTGGGAGCTGCTGCCACAGGGAGGGGAGCGGAGCAGAGGAAACCGCCGGGAGCCTCTCTTACCAGGTTGAGGCGGAGCTGCAATGCCTCGTGCATCATCTGCCGCGCCTTTGTGTCGTCTTGGTACCGCTCCTCTCTCCAGTTACTTAAAATCTAGATCGGAAAACAAATGGAAAAAACTAAAACTTGTTTTCCCTGTTAAAACTGACTTTCTCTCATGTTTAAATTGAGCTTTTCACTGACAGTCAAAAACAACTTCTTGGTTTAACAAATTAACAGAGCTAAAATAAAATTTTGGCTTTCCTCCTCTTCCTCTGTGCAGACAGAAATCTGGCTATTTCTTTGTTCATTGCCTTTCTAGGTGGGAGAAAAAAAATCTTATTTAATTACATATCCTGTTACTAAGTCTTAGAAAATGCTTTAGAGGGCCATCAAGTTAAACATTAACAAAAATAAAGATTATTTGTTAAATACATTATTTCACTGGTCTTAGAAACATAAGTATTGGACAGATAGAATTGCACTTTATATCAGTCCTGTGTTACCTTTCTAGGGACATGCTGCGAGCCCTAGCAAATGTAAGATTTTGATGTTTACTGAAGGGGGGTTTGCTATCTTACAGACCTGTCTCCCTTGAGAAAGATAATGTATACTATTTTGAAAAATGTGACACCTTGGACATCAGTGAAGTGGCAGTTAAGTGAGTGCTTCCTTACTGATTCAGACACGTGTTGGGGAAGGGAAAGTTTGCTCAGGAAAAGCAAACCACACGTGGGCAACACCCCACAATCAGATGACATGAGCAAAAAGAAAAAAACACAGTGCCATGCTCTGAAATACGGTAGCTGAGGAGGATCATCTTAAAAGAGCTGAACTGAGTCACGTGCAGAAATAACTGGGCCCAACAGACAACCTCTAAGTACAGCACACAGTGAGGGGAGGGCTCTTCCCAAATCTCTTCAGAAGATATGGACCTCTACCATGGCTGGATGAGGGGCGCAGGCAGTTAACAGAACCCACAAGCTGTCCTGGAGTTTCCACTCTAGTAGCAGGACAAATAAAAATAAGCCCAACAAGTGGTGTGAATCAGGACACAGGGACAGAGAACGAGTACGGTCCTAATTTAGACAGTGCTCAGGGAGGGCCTCCCTAACGAGGAGAGACCTGAGCAGAGACCTGAAGAAGTGAGGGAGTGCCCAGGTTACTATGCGGGAGGAGAGTCTTCCCGTTGGAGGGGAGAAAAGACAAAAAGGTGCTGCAACGGGAATTTGCTTGGTGAGTTCAAGGAACAGCGTCACGGCCGCTGTGGAAAGAGTGGAGTGAGCAGGCCGTGACCAGGAGGAAGCAAGGCAGAAGTGGGAGCCAGTGCCCAACCACGCAGGGCCTCACCAGCCTAGACTCGGGATTTTTACTGTAGGTACAGTAAGAAACACTGCAGCATTTTGGCACCAGAGAAATACAAGATTTACATGACATATTAAGGCTCACTCTGGCTGCTGTGTAGAGAATAGATCCCTTCTCTCCACAAAGTAGGAGATGACCACAGGATCAATAGTGATTCATCCTTGTCCTGTTCATCCAGGACAATTCAAAGGAAAGACGTGGTGTCACAAGACACAGCACCACAGGAGGGCGCCGCCAGGCTCTGCGGCATGATGGAACGCCCCACAGGACCACTCCAGCCATTTTGCTCGACCCCACACTCTCCAAATTCTAATGTGGTCACTGGGTTTCCTTGTGGCACATAGAACCAAGTGCCCCAAACAGTGACCAGGAGAACTGCAGCTGGTGGAAAGGCAAAGTCCACATTCTCTGTAAAGGAACCAAAATGTCTTCTGATTTACAGACGAGTATCTTGTGCACTCGACTGGCATCCATCTGGCTCTGGCAGTAAAATAAAATTGAGTTTCTGAACCTATGGAGCGCAACCTGAGCCCCTGCCTGATACGTGGGGGCCAGTCGAGGGCCTTACTGCCACGCCTGCTGCAGCCCAGATTGCACCAGGCCCTCTCCCACCAGGCAGGGTCAGCAGAGGGGCAGATACGGCCAAGTTACTTGCAATATGGAAAGTGTTAATTTTATAGTCTATAGACATTTATCCAAGGCATAATTAATATGATAAAATTGCTAATCTTGTGGAGAATAGATAGGAGAACAGGGCATGGATTGTGTCTCCCTGCATCTAATCAAGACGTGTCGTGCCCTTATTTGTTTAATCTCGGTACTTGAAAGGAAAACAAATTAATGCCATTAGAAAAGTACTTGCCTGGCTTAATATCCTACTATACTTTACCTGATTAACTTGATTCTGGAGAGATGTTAGGAGGCCTTCTCGTTGCTCATCTTGTCCCTTGAGGCAGGTAAGGACCAGTGAGAGGAATGGTTGTTGGCTCAAGAGAGACATACTACAAAGGAAGTTAATGACAGCAGATCTGGTTAGCAAGAACGGATTACTTCCTGTGCGGCATCAAGTTCTTGCCCTCCAGTTGCTGGCTCTTTATTTCACTGTTAGAAAGGGAGGGCAGAAGTAAACAGTGAAAGGCCATGTGAAAAGTCAAATCGCATCTCCACTAACAAGGTTAACAGCCACTGACATGCATCTAAATAATTTAATATGCTCTCCTGCCCTTGAAGGCATACCAGCATAAATCCATAGTGTCTATGAGTGTGTAGGGGTCGCAGGGAGAGGAGAATTTGTATTTTACACCAGTAAGCTGAATTTAAAGATACACATCAGAAGGAGTATCACTTTATACACAGAAGAAAATGAAAAATTTAAAAATTTCTCTCCTACGAAACTCTTACTTTAGGGGCCAGGAAACAGGCCTATTTGATTGTCATGCCTGGTTTACCCTTCAGCACATCTCTCAAGAGCACACAGTGGGGTACTGGTAGAGCTAAAATCAGCGCCCGGGGCTGAGGACTCCAAACCCAGCATGCCTGCCGACCTCCAGCGCACAGCCCCCCAGAGCACACAGCCTCAACGTGTAAAGAGGTTTCCGGACATTTGGTAAAAATTCTATCTTAAATTGGCATTTTATTAATATTTCTTCAATTATCAGAGAACTGACAAATCATACTGAGAAACTAATTGCTACATTGGAAACTGGAATACAATCTCATTCTTAAAATGAGATAGAGGACAAAATCTTTCAGCGGGCTTCATCTCACAGCAGCAGAACTGAGAGAGCCTGCCTTGGGAAGAGCCTTCTTCAAACTCTAACACCCTCTGTCCTCCCTGTGGGAAGCAAGGCAGTGTACCTACAGTCGCCCATTAGCAAATACATGTTGAGAATTAAAACTGAGTCATCTGGTTGGTTAATACTGGCAAAGATGACCAAACAACCAGGCAACAGGCAAAATATATGTAAAGCTAGGTTTCTACGAAACGGCACATCCGTGAAGAGCACAGGCTCAGAAGCCAGACCAACTGGGTTGAAACCCAAGCCTGGCAACGCCTTAGCTGTGTGTCCTTGAGAAATTTACTTAACCGTTCAGGCCTTGGTTTCTTCATCTGTAACAAGGGTATATGAAGGAGAGCAGCTACCACATATGATTGTGGAGATATTTTAAAAGTTCAGGTATATGCAAAATGAGTTTTACACAGGGGTTGGTATTTCATAAGAGCTCAGTAAATGGCTGCTGCTAAAATACTATTAATTAGGGGACAAGAAATCTATACGTTCAGAATTTTTTAAAAATGAAATTATCATTATTTCCCTTTACTCCTGTGGTGCTAAATTCATCACATTTTCTTGTTTGGGTGTGGTCTTGTTCCTTCTCAGTAACGCAGTCAGTTTTCAAAATAATTATTTGAAATCTTTTAAAAGAAAACATTAAACTTGGTGGCTTCTAAGTTTTAATATCTAGTCTAGAACAAGAGCCCTAAATGTTAAAAATATTAGTAACTATTTCAGGGTCTAATATGACAGGACTATAAATAATTCTATGTATTTTAAACATAAATACCCAAGTAATAAAAAAATGAAAAGTAATTAACAGTAGACTAGAGGGACCAAGTGGATATCCAGATCTGATTCAGCTGGTGTGAAGTAGGGCTAAGAAGTCGGTGTTTTTAACACCTCAGCAGTGATGTGGGTACACAGGCAGAATTGGGAGCCAGGGAACTAAATATTATAACCTGGAGCTTTTCAGGAACACAGCCTTGCCTAACAGAATACTTTCAATTCCACTTAAGAACAACATTCCGGTGGACTCTGGGTACAGTGACCGCGTGTATTTGCAGGGGACTAGATTTTCTCGATGGTTCTTTAAACACTCACAAAAAGAGCCACACCTTCCAGCCGTACCTTTTCTGCTTCTGTCTGTCTCTTTCCTTCTTTGAAGAAGAACCCAAGTGCTGGCCCTTCTCGAGCTCCTCCCCAGCAGCTTTCAGCACTCTGCCCTGCACAGAAGTCGGCAGCCTGGCGATGAGGGGGGCCACCAGCCACACACCCCTGCGTTCAGAGGAACTAAAATCAGAAACAGGTGTTATGCCCAAGGAGGCATCCTCTCTCCGCCCTCCCAGTCATCACAGAGACTCCAATGCAGAACTCATACACACGAGACTTACCGATTATTCCAAAAGTTCCCTTTGTCCCTATACTAGCTTTCTTCTTGCCAAATACCAGACACTCCACTCACGCTTACAGAAAGCAATAAAAGGTGCGGTTCTAGAGGAACACTATAACTAAACTTTTTTAAAATATACAAAAGTGTTTTTCCATGACTCTGGCTCTCTGGTTAGTAGCAGTCCTTTTGCCCAACAAGCAATATGCTTTTCTGTTAAGATACAAAATGTTCTGATTGTGTTTAAGCATACTAATAACCAATTTTTAAAGTTTTAGAGTTCACTTGTCTTTCTTTACCCAAAATGATGAAATACAAGTCAATCTGCCCTTCATGACTACCATTTGTGCAAAACTGCCTATTAACAAAGATGGCAGAAAAAGCGTTTCCTAATACAACAAAAACCACAGAACCGAGTAGCCTCAGGGGATGCTGAAGAAACTGATCCATCCTGAGTGTCCCGTGTGGTTCCAGGAAGTCTGGGCCTGATTGACTTAATATTCAGAACACTGAGATTCCATCCACCCCCGCAGCATTACCCTACAACATGTTATTAAATAATAAGTGACACTTAAGAGTAATTACTTTCTTCACATTCCTGCAGCTTTAGGAAAAAATAACTGCATTTTGCAAATAAAATGTACTGTTACATGTGAAAAATTAATGATAGCCTAATAAAACTACAGAAAAAAATACCTTAGAAATGTCTTTATCCCATTCTGCCTCGTGCTACTTGTGTCAGTACTTCCGACCCCATTTGGGTTGAAGAGGCCCATCCCAGAACTGGAGGAGTTATTGTTCAAGTCGGCAGACTGCTGGAACACCTCTATTGTTGCCTTTGCAATATTGTCCAGCAAGTTGTTCATCTCAGCCACCGAGCCAGAGCCCTAGCGTCAGACATAAGGAAACCAGCACACAAGTTTTACTTTTTCCTCGAACATCAACGTGTTTTTGCTTTATCATAAAATTTTATACACATAACATGCTTTCAATCTACACTCACAGGGTCCTTCAAGCACTGCTTGATCATTAACTGAAGTTCTAGCCAGGACTGCCTCAGTGTCCACTGCTCGAGATTCTGGGGAAAATGGAAAGAATCAGCACGTTAGGAATACTGAACATGTCTTAAAACACAGTAATTCCTTGCAGTAGTCCCTGTCTCAAGAAAGAGTAGAATAATCATATACAATAAAGGAATTCATATGGATCAAAAGGCTTCCAAGTCTATTGCACATATTCATTGTGGACCCAAAGAAATAAATAGCGACATTCAGATAATGTGCCTCACTCAGCCAGGCACTGGAAATACATAAAACAAGCATTTATTCTCTCAGAATCTATTTTTCTAACCAACCTCATTCCAAAATGATTTCAATACTTTTTGAATATATTTAAGATAGTCCCTCCACAAAGCTTATTTTTCATGTAAATACAGTATTGACTTAAAATATCAATATTTTTGTAATGATTGCATACAATTTGCAGGATCTATATCTACCCAGCAATAAAGTGTGGCAATTACACAGGAAAGAGAATTGGGGAAATAAAAATCAGAATTATTGAAGAATTAGTTAGCAATGACCAAAAAAAGGGAGACAATAGCTCTTGTCATAATCACAAAGAACGTGTCAAATGACAGAAACACCATCTTTAAACTAGCATCACTCACCTGAAGGATGCGCTTAATGTGCTGTCTTTGCAGGTTGTCCCCCTCGGGACATTCTTTAACGCCGTGAGGATAACAGATGAGCTGCAGTAACTTCTGTGCTTGGATGTTGGAAAGCACAGGGTCCAATATAAGCTCCTTGTCTGTGCATAATCTTTCAGGTTCTTTCAAGCAGTGTTCTCCTACCCACTCCTAAAAATAATACACTACTTAGACTGACAGGCATAGACTTCCTGTATGCATATGTAATACACACTACATTCACGGCGCACAGACAAGAATCTTCCAGTTAAAAAAATATTACATAAAACAGTAGGTGGCAAAAGTTTTCGAAACAAATTTCTAGTATTTTAACTTCCAAAAAAAATATCAAGTGGAACCTTGGTTAAAGAAAATTAAAGAAAAAAAAAGATATGCAAAAAAAGTTAAGGAAAGAAAGCTGGGGAAAGTGAAGAAAATACTGATGTATGTTTTCCTTTGGAAAATGAGGGCTTGCTCTAGGAACTGCTTTGTAATTTTTTTTCTAACTTGCTATACAATGGTTAAGATTCTATATCATAATGTCGTCTTCATTTTTACGGAACGCTCTAATTATACTATATCCCACGGAAGAGAACATAGGATAACATCTAGAAAACTGTCCTTTTTGATATCATAATGAATAATGTTACTATTATGAATACTTGTGCACATCTATTCTCTGTACAATTGTTTTCTCAGGATAGTTTCATATTTGTGCAATTGCTGGATCAAGGAGTATAAACATTTAAGGCTAATTGATGTGTGTGGCTAATTGCCCTCTGAAAGTTTCTACCAATTTAAACTCCCATCACCTTTTCTTCACCATTTTTTCAAAGGAAAATTGTTATACTAGATGGCATAAGAAGTCATCAGCAGTCCCAGAGCCCTATTTGAACCCAGATCTGTTTCAGATGAAACCTGTTTCTTAACCATTACACCAGCGGCTCAGTGCTGGCTGTACTCTAAAATCACCTAGGGAGCTTGTTAAAATTCCAAAGCCCAGCCCCGAACATCAGATCAATTAAATCAACCTCAGGTGCTGGGATCCAGACATCAGTAATTGTTTTTGGTATCAAAAATTTTTTAAACTCTCAAGGTGATTCCAAGGTGCAGTCACAGCTGGAAATCAACGCACAACTCAACACCCTCCCAATACCCAAGTGGCTATTTAGCTAACTTTTACCACAGATACAACAAGGCTTAATAAAAACACAACCCTGTCCACATTATGTCTATAGCAAAGTGAAAAAGAGTGTATATGGTAGGCCATGTTTTTTCAATATGAAAGCGAAATTAAAAAAAAAAAAAAAAACATGGAAAGATAAACCAGAAAACAATGACCACCCAGAGCAGGGAGGGATAAAGGGCAGAAGGGACATGGGAGAGAGGACATACTGCTGAGTACACCTTTTTGCGTAGCTGACTTCTGAAGCATGTATTCTAAAGACAGAGCTGGGAAAAGAAGAAATCTAAACCTAATGCAAACAGAAACAAATCAATTTTATTTCAAGTGAATAACATATCCACACCGAAGGAGAAAGTTCAAATAAGTTTTTAACACAATACTGTAAACACTTAGGGAAAAAAGAACTACAAACAAATCTTCAACCTGTTTTAGTAGGCTTGTTTTTCCTAGTGGTGTAGGTATAGCAATTCTGAAACTATCACAAGTGTCTTGTAGAACTCAGCAGATGAGGAAAAGGGTTGACGTTATTGGGAGCCATGCTTCTTATGGTGGAAGAAGGCGATATTAATATGGAAAGGGGGAATGCAAAGCCCTCTGTGGGGTCAGATTGGAATCGGAGATATCAGTATGAACTCATGATTATACAGACACATTTATGTGTATGGATGTATTTTTTTCCCCCAGTTCTGACTGCTGAAAGGGCCTAGAAGCAATGAGCACACATTACCCGCAGCAAAGAGCTCACACAGTGCCCCAGTCTTGGATTCTAAATATCATCCTACTAAATAGAACCAGGGTTCCTTGCAAGAATGAGTAATTCCTGGTCTGAGGCAGGGAAAGTACAAGATGGGCCAGAAAGTAAGAAAATACTTTAAAAAATAAATAAATAAAAGATGGAGACGTGTCAAAATAACACAAGAACAAGCACGAAAAGATTCCTACTGGAAAAATTTGGAGCAATTTAAACATGCAAATAACTAACGACAGTATATTATAACCCATTTGGATAATAAATAAATAGAAGTAAGTAAGGAAAAAAATAAATAAGGGTAGGCTCTCCTTAGAGTAGAATGCAAACTGATAATTGTGGAGGGAGTGGAGGAGTTTGGAAAAAAATCACCATTTTGCAACCATCATAGTAAAGACTGGTTTGGACAAGAATCAAAAGGACGCTTTACGGGAGGTGGGGGTCTGATGAGGAGCAGAATACTGGCATTGTCTCAAATTGTCTCCCCCAAGACTGCTTATGAATTGCAAGGGAAAAAATGATAATTATACAGTTGAGAAATCTTGAAACGACACAATGGAGACACTTGACTAAAATTAACATCACCATTGAGGTGCAAACGGACATCCTGTGCCTTTAGCTGTGAGGACCTGAGAAGAACACATTATTTCTGCAGTGTCTCGGCCAGGAATACATAAGCTGAAGCTAATCTACAGGCAACTTCAGACAAGTCCAACATTATTGAGACAACTGACAAAACCGGAATGTGGCCTATACGTGAGAAAACATTACTGTACCAATGCTAAATTTCCTGATTTCTGAGAGCTGTATTCTGGTTCTGTTAAGTGCTGAAGTATTAAAACGTAAGAAAGAATAATGTATGCCATCTACTCTCAAGTGGTTCAGTAAAAAAAATTAAAAAGTATATGCATCCACATTCACACACACAAATAGAATTATAAAGCAGATGTGGCAAAGTGTAAAAAATCAGTGAATCTATATAAAGGATATGCCATAGTTCTTTATTATTATTATTGCAACTTTTCAGCAAATTTGTAATTATTTCAAAACACAGTTAGCAGGACCACCTATCTACAAGCTTCCTACAATAGTGAGAATCTCTCTGCAAAAGAACAGTTATATATTCAAAGTTAAAGGCAAATTAAATCTAAAGAATACCTGTTGACAGATAGTCCTCAGTACGTATCTAGCATATTCTCTTAAGTTGGCAGTTTCTATGGAAATGCTTTTCCCACAGGACTTTGAATTCTGTGAGGCAGTCCAGATATCATCAGCATTCCCATCACGTCGTAAACTCCTCATGGTGAAGTCATCATTCTTTAAAGAGCTGACACTGTTATTGCCAATTTTGGCATCTCCTAAATAACAAAATCACAAGAGCAAAATTACAGAAGTCCAAAATATTGCCAAATCTTTGAGAAGGAAAGGAGGCAAGCCTTGAGAGATTTAAAATGCATGAATGGTATCATTATTGCACAGCCAGTTGTTCAGCAATAGAGAGAATGGATCAAAAGAACAGGAGAATCCGGAGAAGTTTCATCAGACATAGGAAAAAAACACATTCAAGACTCATTCCTTACTTTTTTTTTTTTTTTTTTTTTTTACAGAATTAAGCATGCTTTCGCCAAACTTGGGAAGGCCATTATGAACCACACTTAATAACCACACACAACATTGATTTACCAATATTTCAAGCATAAATGTATTCAAATTCATTTGACTTATAGACAAGGAAAAAATGGGTTACTCACCCTTCTAGATGTCCCTTTCCATTTCTTCTCTTACAATGACTTATTTTCTATCCATAGGTCAAGAGAAAAGTTTTGCCTTAGCCCACCTTACTATCAACATCTTGACAAGAGAGATTTATTTCCCTGGGAATGGAAAAGGGCAGTGGACACTGAGGAGGCCGTGGACACAGGGCAGCCAGTGAATAACCCGTGACTCTCCCTTTCCTCTCTGCAAACATCCAAACCAGAAATCCTCCCTGACCAACCTCCAATACACTCAGTAAAATGAGGCTAAGGAAAGTGTTTTCCTCATAACAAAGTTCTGGGGGGAAAACTGAGCAGAATGGTTGAACTGCTGGAAATAAGAAACCTTCTCTAGCCGTGAAAAACAAATAATTGTATTTTAGTACGCTGTGGTAATAAAAACTGTCAAATGACAACAGAGCCCCTAGACTTTGGCCTGTTTACCCATAGGATCGTGAGCTTAGAACAAGAAAATCTCCTGGAACCAGTATGTGAGTTTAGATGAGGCCCTCACTGCCTCATGTGAGCGAAACCAAGCCCAGATCAGGGAAAAAAGCTTTTTAAAACCCACAGGTCAACCAAGAAAAAGTTTTGACTCGGCTGAAAAAATGTGAACAATCGGAATGGCTTAGCAAATATTTGCTTATAAAATCGTTAAGGGGGGAGGAATAAACAATACATTTTTTAACTCATCAATATCTCACTACATATTAGCATACATTTCTCATTACAATACACACACAGCAAGTACTAACTTCACTTCACCCTCAGGAGTTCATTTAATTCAACAAACATTTTCAGGAGCTGAAAGAAAGACCAGATTCTACATGTATCAAAATTTAGCATGCTTTCTCCAACCTCTGGTGATATAAACAACTATTTTTATGCCTTAAGTTAAACTACTGGGTTTATAAAAACCCAATTCTATAAAGCAGTCCTATCTCCCTAACTCAAAATAGATCCTGGCAGATAGGACTTGAGAGAACATCGGTTAGGAAGCGGTGAGATAGATAAGTTAAAAGTTCTGCAAAAACAAAAACAAAGAAACAAACACCTCTACCAATCGCAGATGAGGAGATCCTCATTCTGTTTAGATGTTAGAATGACAGAGGTCTTCAAGGCTGTGCCAGAACCTTCTGCAGTCATATTGACAATAGAACAAATTTGAATGTTCATTGACTGCCTGGTCCAACTCAACTGGCCTTATCCTGACTTCTTAGACCTGAAGAACCCTCCCATCGCTTAGGAAGCTGTAGAATCTACCAGGAACTGAGCCCAATTAAAAAGGTCAAGGAGAGGTAATCAAAGAAAAATGAACCGGTGATTACGCATGGATATTAAGATATGGCCATTTGGATATTTAAAGAGGTTGGGAAATTTTACTTGGGATTGGACCAGTCCTCCAAATCAAGGAGACAGTGTCTAAATTGCACTCATCTTGGTTTCTGCCATTAAAATGTCTATCACTTATGCAGTCACACTTCCAACATTAGTTTACTGAAAATCTACTATTTAGTTTCTCTGATGGGCATTAGAGAGATATCACAGCAAAAAAGTGAGTTCCTGACTTCATGGTCTCTACATTTATTTATTAAACAGAATTGACCAGCCACCTTTCCTTTCAAACATCATCAGAGTACAGAAATCTCACATAAGGAAATGAGCATTTAATGTTGGCTCTGTAATACTCCAAGCTCCTGAGCTCAGAGGAGAGGCTGGGGCCCTCCATGTGGCTCTATCTTTCCCTTCTTACTACGTAATTCATGGGTATGTCACAGGGACTATACATATATGTATACAAATGTATGTGTGTGTGTATATATATATATATTTTTAAGGTGAACTTTTAATCATGTGTTTTATAAAAACCCTGTTATCCTTCCTTGTCACCAAGTAACACTTGTCAAGTAGTAGTATAAAGAGACAGGGTGTATCCTCAAACGTGTCCCATAAGACTCATCTAAAACAACACCCATCCACTCAGTAACTTCTCTCCTAACCAAAGGGAGCCCCTTTGGAACCTAAGAGAGAACTTCTACTTAGGCAAGGCCAAACCAGGGCACCCAAAGTTGGAATGAGACTGTGAATTCAAGACTTTGTAATCATTCAAATACTACATGATCTATAGAATAAAAGGGTCTTAAGGTACTGTACTGTAAACAAACAGAACAAGCAGTACTACTACTCCAGGAGAGTATATACCAATAAGGATATAAAAGACATCTTGGACATTATGCATTAAATGAAAAAAAAACTGTGATATCTAATATTGATTTATCAATAATATCAATATCATTGCGATTATCACCCAATTCATGAAAAAACTAAGAAGGAAGTATATAAACTTGTTCAGAGTCACAACGGAAGCAGAAACACTAAAATGAAAACCCAGGTTTTCTAGTGTTCTACTCCTGGACTAGAAGACGAAATTCAGACCTCTGGTTAGATCACCAAGTCATCCGTGCCCATCACGAAGTGTGACTCGTGCCACCAATGACGGCAGAACAAGCCAGGGTCTGAGGATCTACATTACATCAGAAGAAGACATCCTGCAGTTAAAATGCCACCAAAACGTATAATGTTTAAACCACCCCAGAATTGTAGGTAAGGGACAGACTCCTCCTAGTCCAGCTGATCTTGGACTTGGGGAACGCCAACTAATTTTTCCAGGAGAACAAACAAAAAACATGTTTCTAATAATATTAACTGCAGTTAAACTTGAATACAAATTATTTTTCCTCCGTTTCTGGTGATTAACCAAGCTTAGTGCCAGGAGAGTCTTACCAAGCATCATAATCGCTTTTAAGACAGCAAACACGGCTCCCACTTCAATGCTGTTGTGAGCAGCGGCTAAGAGGTGTCTATCACAAGATGATCTTATTCCTGGGAAAGGTTTGCCTGTGAGAACAACAAACCTTTAATAGTCTCATCACCATCATTAACAGCCTTTTATAACCATTTACAGTCAGCAGGGCCTTTCATTGTTAGACTGTGGGTGCTTAATTGCCATTAGCTAGCTTAAATTGATGTTTGCGGATTTACTAGAAACACCGCCAGTATTTCTTACTTAACCTTTTCTTTTTAATTGTTAAAGCAATGTCTTTGCTCCTTAGAGACATGCATCAAAAAAATTAGTAGGACTTTCATCCACTTATGCTGATTGTTACACACACATCTATATGGAAATGATCTCTAGGAACAGACTTCATTAACACCCCTAGAAGTCTTAACTTATTTCTTTTACCTTGGTGAAAGAATAAATGAATCACCATTGCCCTAAGCTGCTATGGCGTGGTTCATAACCAACATACATAGTATGTCACAGGATCATGCTGCCCACCAGCATGGCTTGGCCTAAGAGCAAAAGTATTTTCATTGTTTATTAACTCTTGATTTGAGTTCCTTAATGCATCCTGATGTTACATCACTGAAAGGTGCTGACAGCCCCTCAACGGCATTATTGCACTCCTTCATCATCCCCAAAGCAAACCCACCAACACCAGGAAGGAAGTTACAGAACGGACAGCCCACTTGAGTCATTTTAGAACCTACAGCTCCAAATGAAAACAAAATCAGAGATTTCCCAGCTGTCAGCTCACCGGTTGCCTGAGGCAAGAAGCAGGCCTGGGGAGCTCGGAAGAGGTGGAGCAGGAGTCGGCACGTCATCCTCGCCCCAGGCTCGGCGTCCGCATCTCCACAGGCTAGCAAAGAGGGAGTTTAACAGCAAGGTACCTAACATATTCAAGAACATATCTTCCGGTGCTCTATTACGCTACACTTTCTGGAATAATTTAAATAAATACTCCTTAAGGTAAAAGTAAGACACTGGCTATGCTTTTCTGAGAAACCTGATGCTTCCTTAAAAACAGGGACTGAAACAGTAGTTTCCACCTTTCCCACAGGAATCTGTCATTACTTTATATAGAACAGCATTTACACTCCTAGCATCCTGACCTTGATGCCACACCACCGCCCAATGCACGTACCTTAAACACCCACCTCGCTGTGTTTTAACAGTTAGAAACCGTCCCGCCACAACCCACAATCAAACAACAAACACGTCCCGGGCGCCCTCACCTGCTGCGAGGAGAGAGGGAAGAGCGACGTGCTGCACCACATCCTCCAGGGAGAAGCACTGTCGCGCTATCAGGATGGCGGTGAAAGTAGCTAATGAATCATGGAAGGAAAGGTCACTCACCTTCAAGAAAAACATTGACACGTTTTAATACCTAACCCCCTTAGGTAGTATCTAAGACTAATCGCTAAGAAAATGTAGGCAATACCAATAAGATCTCGAATCCAAAAATGAGCCAATAGAGTGAAATGATAACTTATAGTGACTATCAGCCCCTAGGCCTATTTCTACCGTGTGAGGCAAAGAACGAGGCTGACCCACGTCACAACGCCATAAACAGACACTGAGCTCTATCCTGAGTACATGTAACTGAAAAACAAAACAACAAAAAAGCAAAATCGAGAAATTCCTAAAAGGTGTAGCATAAATAAAACTTTTTATCAGAATGCAGCATGATCTGTCATTTAAGGGTAACCATTAGGAAACAAGGGAAAACCAGGAGGTTTCCCTGACTGAAAAACAAGCCTGGATAATGTTTTGGAGATCCTGGTAGGGATAACAAATAATGAGTCTTTAATATACTTAAATGAGTTTTAAAAACAATTCTGAAAATTTCCAATTGACTCCTCAATTTAAAAAAGATAGAGAGAGAGAAAAGAGGAGGAAAATTAATTCATCCAGAGTGAGACCTCTCCCTTTACAGATCTCACAAGACTCTGGCAGAAAATGATAAGAAAGACAGCTATAGCAGCAGCCTTCACGTTATGTTGACCCACGAGCCAGTAACTGTAGCGAGTGATTTACAAAGATCACCTCATTTAATGGCACAATGCTCTGAGGCTGATACTATTATTAATCCCAATTTTACAGAAGAGGGAGCAAAGTGGAGGTAAAGTGTAACAAAAACAACCAAGAAGTTAAGGAACAATGTTAAAGACAAAATTGGGCTCTTTTCTGTCTGGAAAAGTAGGCCACTATTACGAGTTTTATGTCTAAAATCCTAGGTGCTCATAGAACCGAGTAGGATTCCACCCACCCTCAAGACCCCAGAACTAGGAAGTAAACCTTCAGTGGGGAGGTAGTTTTTAAAATGTATGAAGTTCTTCTATCTATAAGCTATATTAAACAATGTGGATTACTCCAAGAAGTGAAAGGGAGAAATAAAGAATCAAGGCGGATTTTTAAGAAATTCACACATCATAGATGCAATATGATATTCGAGAAAATCAGTGATATATGATGGGTGTCTATTCATCACCTTCCAGACACAGTCACTAGGAAAGATGGGACACCCCAGTGCATGTGAGCCTGGACATTCTTATGCAACACCACAGGACCTATATTCTTAAAGTGCACCTTGATCTTAAAAAAACAAAGTGGTTCTCTTCAGAACTTAAACTGCTTTAGTTAAATTATGTCCTGTGCCATGGGGAACTCAAGGCACTTAGTAAAAACTAGGAAAAAACAACTCTGAAGAGACAATATGTAAGAAATCTCAGCTAACAAACAAGGAGATTCATGGCATCTCTGCTGTAGATTAAGCTGTTTTATTTATTTCAATTTTTTTCCATTTATTTAATCCTTGGCAACCACACTCTGGTCTACTGCATTTGGAGAGAGAAAGAAAAAATCTTTTACAACAGTTAAGGGTTGAGTTAATTTAAAAAAAATTACTCACTAACTAAATATTTAATTGCACAGTTGAGTTTTTAAATGAAAAAGAAAACTTACATCTACAGTGCAAAGTACATCATTAAACCCCCACACGTGATTTGAAGAACAACAAAGGGCCTTCAGAACTCCCAGCCATTCTGAACTAAGAACAGTGCAGCAAGCCGTCAGCTCAGAGGAGAAATTGGCTATGTCATTAATCCTAGAAAGAAGAAAAAGAATATAGTAGAAAGTAACAAAAGGGAAATACTGACATGTGATATGCTTAATCAGCACATATTTCACGACCATCAAACAAGTCATTCATTTCTTATATTTAAGGATATAACAAATACCCATTAGTCAAATAACCTAGTAGATCTGGAACGGAAGATAAAAGCAAATGTCTTCAAATGTTTTCTAATATTTAATCCTGTTGAGCAACAACCAATAATCAGCACAGATGTCAGTTATCATATTTTTAATTCTGTGAACAAATCTGACCTATAAATTTACATTCTTTTAAAAACTCAATTAATTCTTTATTGAGGAAACACTGGTTTATAACATTATATAAATTTCAGGTGTACGTGATTACATTTCAATTTCTGTATAGACTATATCAGGTTCACCACCCAAAATCCAGTTGCCAGTGGTTACCATACCCATGGACCCTTTTATCCCTTTCGCCCTTCCCAACCCCCTTCCCCTCTGGTAACCACCAATCTCTTCACCATATCCATGGGGTTTTGTTGTTGTTGTTGTTGTTTATACTCTTCCAGATCTGAGTGAAATCACACAGTATTTGGCTCTCTCCATCTGACTTACTTCTCTTAGCATAATACCCTCAAGGTCCATCCATGTTGTTGCAAATGGCAAGATTTCATCTTTTTTTTATGGCTGAGTAGTATTCCATTGTGTATATATACCACATCTTCTTTATCCATTTATCTATTGACGAGCACTTAGGTTGTTTCCAAGTCTTGGCTCTTGAGAATAATGCTGCAATGAATATAGGGATGCACATATCTTCTCAAATTAGCATTTTTACTTTCTTAGGATCAATACCCACAAGTGGAATAGCTGGATCAAATGGTAGTTCTATTTTTAATTTTTTGAAGGATCTCCATACTGTTTTCCATAGTGGCTACACGAGTTTACATTCCCACCAGCAGTGTATGAGGGTTTCCTTTTCTCCACATTCTTTCCAACAGTTGTTATTTCTTTGCTTTTTAATAATAGCCATTCTGACAGGCATGAGGTGATATCTCATTATGGTTTTGATTTGTTTCCTTAATAATTAGTGAATTGAACACATTTTCATGTGCCTGTTGGCTATCCGTATATCTTCTTTGGAAAAATGTCTATTCAGGTCCTTTGCCTACTTTTTAATCGTTATTGTTGTTGTTGAGTTGTATGAGCTCTTTATATATTTTAGATATTAACCGCTGATCAGACACATGACTTGCAAATATCTTCTCCCAATTGTTAGGTTGTTCTTTCATTTTGTTGATGGTTTTCTTTGCATGCAGAAGTGTTTTAGGTTAACGTACTCCCATTTGTTTATTTTTTCTTTTCTTTCCTTTGCCTGAGGAGACATGATATTCAAAAGATACTGCTAAGACCAATGTCAAAGAGTGTACTGCTTATGTTCTCTTCTAGGAGTTTTATGGTTTCAGGTCTTACACTCAAGTCGTTAATCCATTTAGAGTTAATTTTTTTGTATGGTGTAAGATAATGGTCTACTTTCATTTTTTTGCCCATGGCTATCCAGTGTTCCCAATACCATTTATTGAAGAGAATTTGCTTTCTCCATTGTATGTTCTTGGCTCCTTTGTCAAAAATTAGCTGTCCATAGATGTGTGGGTTTATTTCTGGGCTCTTGATTCTGTTCCATTGATCTGTGTGCCTGTTTCTCTGCCAGTATCACGCTGTTTTGATTACTGTAGCTCTGTAGTATATTTTGAAATCAGGGAGTATGATACCTCCAACTTAGGATTGCTTTGGCTATGAGGGGTCTTTTGTTCTTCCACATAAAGATTAGGATTCTTTGTTCTATTTCTGTGAAAAATGTCATTGGGACTTTGATAGAGATGGCATTGAATCTGTAGATTGCTTTATAAGTATGGACATTTTAACTATGTTAATTCTTCCAATCCATAAACATGGAATATCTTTCCATTTCTTTGTGTTTTCTTCAATTTCTTTAAACAATGTTTTATAGTTTTCGGCATACAGGTCTTTCACTTCCTTGCTTAAATTTATTCCTAGGTATTTTATTCTTTTTGTTGTGATTGCAAATGGGATTGTATTCTTAATTTCTCTTTCTACTAGTTCATTGTTAGTGTATAGAAACGCAACTGATTTTTTATGTTGATTTTGTATGCTGCAACTTACCAGTATTCGTTTATTATTTCTAATAGTTTTTTGGTGGATTCTTTATGGTTTTCTAGACATAAAATCATGTCATCTGTAAATAGTAACAGTTTTAGTTCTTCCTTTACAATTTGGATCCCTCATTTCTTTTTCTTGCCTAACTGCTCTGGCTAGGACAACCAATACTATGTTCAATAAGAGTGGTAAAAGTGGGTATCCTTATCTTGTTTCTGTTCTTAGAGGGAAAGCTTTCAGTTTTTCACCATTGAATATGATGTTTGCTGTCGGTTTGTCATATATGGCCTTTATTATGTTGAAGTGCTTTCCTTCTATACCCATTTCATTCAAAGTTTTTATCACAAATGGATGCTGTATCTTGTCGCATGCTTTTTTGGCATCTGAGATGATCATGTGATTTTTCTTCTTCATTTTGTTAATGTGGTGTATCACGTTGATTGATTTGCAGATGTTAAACCATCCTTGCATTCCTGCAATAAATCCCACTTGACCATGGTGTATGATCCCTTTAATGTACCGTTGTATTCTATTTGTCAATATTTTGTTGAGGATTTTTGCATCTACATTCATCAGTGAAACGGGCTTGTAATTTTCTTTGTCTGTGTTGTCCTTCTCTAGTTTTATAGTATCAGGATAATGTTGGTCTTATAGAATGAATTAGGAAGCAACTTCTCCTCTTCAATTTTTTGGAAGAATTTGAGAAGGATAGGTATTAAGCCTTCTTTGAATTGTTTGGTAGAATTCACTGAGGAAGCTGTCTGGTCCTGGACTTTGGTTTTTTGAAAGCTTTGTGATTACTGTTTCAATCTCCTTACTAGTGATCAGCCTATTCAGAGTCTCTATTTCTTCTTGATTCAGTTTTGGAAGGTTGTAAGATTCTAAGAATTTATCCATTTCTTCTAGATTGCCCAATTTGTTGGCATAATAGCTTTTCCTATTTTTTTCTTTTAAGCCTTTGTATTTCTGTGGTGTCTGTCATAATTTCTCCTCTTTTGCTTCTGATTCTATTTATGCGAGCCTTCATTTCTTCCTGGTGAGTCCAGCCAAAGGTTTGTCGATTTCATCTATCTTTCCAAAGAACCAGCTCTTAGTTTCATTGATCTTTTCTATTGTTTTTTTAGTCTCTATTTCATTTATTTCCACTCTGATTTTTATTCTTTCCTTCCTTCTACTGATTTTGGGCTTCATTGGTCTTCTTTTTCTAGTTCCTCTAGGTGTAACGTTAGATTGTTTGAGATTTTTCTTGTTTCTTCAAGTAGGCCTGTATTACTCTAAAGTTCTCTCTTAGTAACACTTTTGCTGTATCCCATAGATTTTTTTATACTGTATTTTCATTTTCATTTGTCTCTATGTATTTTTTTAATTTTTTCTTTGATTTCTTCATTTACCCAAGAGCTGTTCAGAAGCATTTTGCTTAATCTCCACATAGCTGTCACTTTTCTAGATTTTTTCTTGTAGTTGATTTCTAATTTCATATTGCTGTGGTCAGAAAAAATGTTCAATATTATTTCATTATTCTTAAATTTATTAAGACTTCTTTTGTGGCCTAATACGTGATCTGTCGTGGAGAATGTTCCATGTGCATTAAAAAAAAACGTGTATTCTGCAGTTTTTGAATGGAATGTTCTGTATATATCTATAAAATCCATCTGGTCTAATGAGTCATTTAAGGTATTGATCTTCTTTCTGGATGATCTATCCATTGATGTAAGTGGAGTGTTAAAGTCCCCTACTATTACTGTATTACTGTCAAATTCTCTTTTTATGTCTGTTAATATTTACTTTATGTATTTAGGTGTTCCTACATAGGGTGTATAGATATTTACAAATGTTATGTGGAATATCTTTTTCCATCCCTTCACTTTCAATTTGTAAGGGTCTTTAGGTCTGAAGTGTGTCTCTTATATGCAGCATAAATATTAGTATTGTCTTTTATCCAGTCAGCCACCCTATGTCTTTTGATTGGAGCATTTAGTCCATTTACATTTAAAGTGACTGTTAATAAGTATGTACCTATTGCCATTTTGTTACTTTTTCCTGGAGGTTTTTGTAGTTCTTCTCTGTTCTTTCTTCTTCTCTTGCTCTCTTCCATTGTGATTTGTTGGCTTTCTTTAGTGTTATGTTTGGGTTCCCTTCTCCTTATTTTTTACATATTTATTAAGGGTTTTTGATTTGTGGTTACCATGAGGTTTATAAATAACAATCTATATATAGAGAAATCTGTATTAAGTTGATGGTCTCTTAAGTTCAAACTCTAAGTAAAAGCCCTACAATTTTACTCTCCCCCTCCACATTTTACATTTTTGATATTATATTTTACCTGTTTTATTTTTGTGTATTCCTTAACCTCTTATCATAGATATAGATTATTTTAGTACTTTTGTCTTTTGACCTTCATACTAGATTTTAAGGTGTTTGATCCACTACCATTAGTGTATATCTGCCTTTATCTGTGACATTTTTTCTTTGATAGTTTTCTTATTCTTATTTGTGGACTTTACTTTTCCACTTAAATAAGTCCCTTTAACATTTCTTGTAAGGCCAGTTTAGTGGTAAAGAACTCCTTTAGTTTTTCCTTGTTTGGAAAATTCTTTGCCTCTCCTTCCCTTCTGAATGATAACCTTGCTGGCTAGAGTATTCTTTTTTTTTTTTCTCCCTTTTCTCCCCAAAGCCCCAGTAGATAGCTGTATGTCACAGTTGCACATCCTTCTGGTTGCTGTATGTGGGACGTGGCCTCAACATGGCCAGACAAGCAGCACGTTGGTGCATGCCAGGGATCCAAACCCGGGCCACCAGTAGCAGAGCGCACACACTTAACTGCTAAGCCACGGGGCCAGCCCCTGGCTAGAGTATTCTTGGTTGTAGATTTTTTCCCTTCAGCAGTTTGAGTATACTGTTCCACGCCCTTCTAGCCTCTAAGGTTTCTGCTGACAAGTCAGCTGATAGCCTTAAGGGGTTTCCTTTGTATGTAACTTTTTGCTTATGTGGTTTCCTTTGTATGTAACTTTTTGCTTTTCTCTTGCAACCTTTAGGATTCTCTCCTTATCTTTAATTCTTGATATTTTAATTATAATCTGTCTTTGTGTGGACTTTTTTGGATTCATCTTGCTTGGTACTCTGTGTGCTTCCTGTACAAGGATGTTTGTTTCCTTTCCCAGGTAAGGGAAGTTTTCAGTTATTATTTATTAAAATAAGTTCTCTGTCCTTATGTCTCTCTCTTCTCTTTCTGGGACACCTATAAGGAGGATGTTAGTAAACTTGATGTTGTCCCAGAGGTCCCTTAGACTGTCTTCATTCTTTTTAATTCTTTTTTTTTTCAGCTTGGGTGATTTCCTCTATTCTTTCATCCAGATTGCTGATCTGTTCTTCTTGTCATCTGTTCTGCTGTCGATTCCCTGTAGTGAATTTTTCACTTCCATTATTGTATTCTTTGGCTCTGATTGGTTCTTTTTTATACTTTCTAATTCTTTGTTGAAGTTTTCACCATGTTCATCTATTTTTCTCCCCAGTTCAGTGAGCATCCTTATGACTATTAGTTTGTACTCTTCATCAGAGAGATTGTTTATCTCTGTTTCATTTAGTTCTTTTTCTGAGGATTTGCCCTGTTCTTTTATTTGGAACATATTCCTTTGTCTCCTCATTTTGCGTATTTCCCGGTGTTTATTTCTATGTATCAGGTTGATCAGCTATGTCTCCCAATCTTGGAAATGTGGTCTTATGTAGGAGATGTCTTAAGGGGCCTAGGAGCATGTTCCCTTCTCATCATCCATGACAAATGTTCCAGCGATGTCCTCTGTGTGGGCCGTGTGCCCTTTTGCCGTGGTGACGTTGCTATGGCTGTGGGCATGCGGTTAGGCTGGGCTGGCCCGCAGCCTGGCTGGTTGTGAGGCCCAGCCACATACAATTCCTATGGGCACATTATTGGGTAGGGCAATCCCCTTGCACAGATGGCTGTGAGGTCTGGTAGCACACCACTACTGTAGTTTTGCTGGTAAGAGAGTCAGGCCACCTCTGTGGCTGGTTGCTAGGCCCAGGGGCACACAACTGCTCCAGGCTCCTTGTGTGGCTGGCTGCACAGCCCTACAGCGCTCGGCTGCCTCAAATGCATTGGTGGACGGAGTAGGCTTCTGGTGAGTCTAGCTGCACAGAGCGGCTGTTGCTAGCTCACTTTTCAGTGGGGCAGGTCTCTGGAAAGAACTGGCAAGGCAATCCTGTGGTGCACAGCTGCCACAGGAGTGCTGATGGGTGGGTCAGGCTGAAGGCACAGCTGTGCACAACTGTTTCAGGCACTGACAGGTGGGGCAGATCCCCCGTGTGACTGTTTACAAGGCCCAGGGGCTCAAGTCAGCTGTGGGCTTGCTCGTGGGCAGGGCCAGCGGGCTGCCCACTGCCTTGCTTCACTGGATTACCTCCAGTGCTCTAGTGTGCATGGCAAATCCCTGCACTAACAGGCTAGAGAAAGGATTCCAATGGCGGCTTCCAGCGTCTATGTCACACAACAGACCTAGGTCACAATAATGACTGCCAGCAGTGTCTCAGTCCCTGAGGGATGTGCCCAGCCACCTCTTGCCTCTCCGAGATGCGATCTGAGCTTAATAAGTGAGTCTCTTTTACCAATGGACTATGTACTTTTCTATCTGGTATTTTTGTGCTGGTTTCCGGGTTGAGTGAGTCTGCGTGAGGGCTCTTCAAGACTAGGTTTTCCTTTCCCTGAAGTTCTATAGTTTTCCTGAGTGTACTCCTCATTGGTTTTCAAAGCCAGGATTAGGGGATCTCATCTCTCTTGTCCTGTGGTGCCTAATGTTGAGCTTGAATCCCCACTCCTCTGAGAAAAGCTCTGTACCTTTGAGATCACTCCCGGCCATGAAGCACTGCGGCTAGTGTGGTTTTTACCTCAGTGAGGCTGTTTCTCTGCCTCTTCCACCCCTGTCTGTGTTGTCCCTTGGTGTGGAGGTTCTTTTTATCCAGTTTCCAAGTCTCTCTCAGATGAAACTGTTCCACAAGGAGTTGTAGGTTTGTAGTGTCTGTGGGAGGAGGTGAGTTCAGGATCCTCCTATGCTGCCATCTTCCAAACTCCCCGAGACTTGTACTTTTAAGTCAAAATGGTGTCACCCTGCAACCAGTCCCAAATTATCACTGAGCAGAAACTTGCACTCATTTTTGTGTGTTTTACCTCTAGGAGCTCAATCAAGTTCTCACAGTAAATATTGGAGAAAAATTATACTGTGCTTCTGGCAGTGGGAGGAGACAAGGGACCATTCTGAAATACACCAGGGCACTCTAAATTTACATTTTTTAAGGGCATCAAGAAAATTAAAGAAACTATGTAATTCAGATAGGCCTAAATATGGTGTTTTCAAATTATAAGAATTTTTTATTTGTATTTTTGTTATATATATTTTTAATATATACGATGGATGGATCGATAACTTATAGATTTATATAAAGCATCTTCTGCCAGAGCAATAAGCCAGAAAGCACTGTGTCTCAGGTTAAGGAAATCACAGTATAGAGCAGAGGTAAAGTCAGCAATAAAAGTATAGGAAAAAAAAAAAAGGAAACAACATCCAAATGTCAGCCTAGGCAATTACTAAAGACATTCCTTTCAAAGGAGCACCAAGGCCACAATTCTGTGGTTAATCATGAATTCCAGAGTAACTCAGCTCACCTTCCAGCGTCCTGATGGCCCATACATACATTCATGAGCGTATTGCAGACGAAGCTGTAGCGATTGGCCGCATTGTCACTAAGGATCTTGCCCAGCATTGAGTAGTTGATGCTACGGGCTGAAGGATTCTCAATAAAATCCATCATGAAGTCCGGATCCCATCGCAAGTTAGAATTTGCAGGCATCACATTATTATATATGGTTTGCTTAACTTTTGAACAGGCACTACTGAGGTTACAAGAAGAAGAGTTAAAAAAAAAAAGAAAACTAGAATAACTAGAAAGTAATTTCATTTAAGGGCAGATTAAATGGCAGCAACTGTAACATATTTAAAAAAAAAAGTTGCTGAATGGGTGAAAGAAGAAAACAAGAAAAAGACATTCGGTTACTAATCTTAATTATTTTCTAAATCTTTTCTACATTTTACATGGTCTAGAAATAAAAGAATTTACCAAGGCTTCCAACAACTGTGTCTGAAGAGCAGCTATAAAGTGTTATTACTTAAGAATAAAAATGGGGCGATCAGATTACACATCAGGAATAATTTGGTGTTTCAGTCCTAATTGTACATCCCACAAAACTGTTCCTCTAGGCGCAGTGTGTCCAGTGGAGGTGCACTGCCAAGTTCCAGTGGGCACTGTGGGACAGCTGTGAAAAACACAGGCTCGTTCTCTGCCTTCAGGAGCTTACATTCCAGGAGGAGGATATGTCTAACACACATGTTCAGTGCGAGTAAAGAAACTATGATGTCGTTCCTAAAATTTATCATGTTCTGTTTTGCAGCAGGGTTAAGAGATTTTTAAGAGGCTGGTCTATCACGTGAAAATAGTTCATGTTTCAGTGAGTTACATCTGGCCGAGATATAGAACACTGGAAATATAAAGGGAAACAGAAGGGATCTGCTCCAATCCTGCTTCCCAGATGAGGCTGAGGGATGATCAAAGCTCAGACTCCATACACACTTGGCTATTCTTGCCTACTTGCTGTGGACGATAAATCCATAAACAACATTCATCTTCTCTATTCAAGAGCTCTTTTATGCAGCAGAAAGTGTTCTTCTTTTACATTAAGGTTTTTGGCAGCAAATTTATTTGTGATTAAGGTGACACATGGCTTTTTTCTTTTTAATTCCTGGTGTTATGCACCTACATAAATAGTAGCCAGGAATGACTTCCTCAACAATGAGAAAGCATGCAGACTCTTTACCCTACACTGTTGCCACTGCCGAGTGCTTTAAGAAAACAGAGATCATTCAGTTCAACGTTTAGCAAAACGTGGCTTCAGACCTCCTTCAGAATCACCTCTCGGGTGTATGTTAAAATAAAGATTACTGGGTCTCACTGGAGGTGTACTAAATGTATATTTAAAAAGCTGTCCCCCTAGGGCCGGCCCAGTGGTGCAGTGGTTACGTTCATGTGCTCCGCTTCGGCGGCCCAGAGTTCACAGGTTCAGAGCCTGGGCGCTAACCTACGCACCGCTCATCAAGCCATGCTGTGGCAGCATCCCACATACCAAACGGAGGAAGACTGGCATGGACGTTAGCTCAGGGCGAATCTTCCTCACCAAAAAAAGAAAAAGAAAAAGAAAAAAAGCTGTCCCCAGTAAATCTAAGTGCCAAACAGTGCTGGTCCAACAGAGACGCCTAAAGCCACCCATGAAATGGCAGTGATTACAATCTCCTACACTCTTCCTCTGCAGACAGTTCATGTAAAAACTTGTCAGTGGTCAGTTAAGGACACAAGTTTGTGGTCTGCAGTCATGACCTGTTGAAAATGATGGACATTATACAGTCCCCAGCACTTTTAAAATTTCCCTTTTTCCTGTCCTCACTCTTGCCACACTTCCTACTCAACTTTTCCTTCATTTTCACTTAGCAATACTTCTTAATTTGTTTCACTTTCTCACTAAAAATGAAAGACAACAAACTTTGCTCTACTGGGTCCCTCCCTGACACCACACCCCTGGTTCCCTCCACTTCCCAACACCCCAAGTGTTTAATAAAGCAGACTGCTGCAGATTGTAAAGCTTTTTCTTTCCTTTCTTCAACTTCCTACTTGATTCTACCCATCTATACGTGTCTGTCTTTAGAAACCAAAAGAATTGTGCTTTTCTTTCTTAAGCTTTATAAGATTCAGCCCCCACTTTCCATCAGGATAGAGATGTCTCTCGAGTCGACTCTCCCACCTCAATGGCATCATTTCTCTCGGCTCTGTGGCTCACTGTGAAGTCTCCTTGACCTTCGTGTCTAGGCTTCCTGTTTCATTTATTATCCTCTTTCCAAATGAGCTTCTATGTTTTAATAGAAAGTTCGCTGCCATCTAGGTCCCTCTCCAATTCTAACACTCTCTGTCGCAGGCATACATGGAATTAAGGAAACAACTCAGACCTCTTCCTTCTGAAATTACATGTGTCAGAAAACCTGACAGAGTCATGAAAGCAACACACACTTGAGGCCAAAATGACTTATGCTCAAATCTAAGGCTCACCGTTTATTAACTTTTGATGAGGCACAATCGTTTGCTGATAGGAAAAGTCATTTCTACTTCCTGGGGTTGTTGGGGGGATGAAAGATCGTGATGGAAATAACCCAGCACAGTGCTTGGTGCACAGCGAGCAGCAGCGTCACCAGTGGTAGACGTGATTAGTGCTCTATTTCCCCCAAATACTCCTCTTACACGACTTTATAGGTGGTGCTTCCGGTCCCATTACTAAAGCTATTTAATAGCGGGAACTTGAGACAGCGCCGCTCCTGCGAGGCACCGCCGCGCCGACCCTAAGCAGCCCTGCAGTCCGCCCTCGGCCTCCTAACCTCCACACACCTGGTGCACACGACTTGGATTAACTCATTAGCATGCTTGCACTACCCTGCAGGAGCATCAGGGGCTGACAGCCTGTTGGGGCTGTCTTGGGAAGTGGACTGTAAAACACAGGGCTGTTACAATGACCAAATCACTTATGAGAAAGCTCTCTGAACCCTAGACTGAAACTGAAAGCTCTCTGCCAAGGAAGAGTACTGGGTATTATTATTATTACATCATTACCTCCTTAGTAAGGATGGAGGTAACAGAGAAAGATGTGGAAGAGAAAATCGGATCCAGCAGATCCTGAAGGCTAGGTACAGACTTTGAATTTTATTCTCAGTAGACGAGAAGCCATATGAACACTTCAAGTTACTCTTGTTGTAAAAGGATGACCTCAGTGGATATGTTAGTAATATGCTCAGGAGAGCCAGGGGGCAAGCAGGGAAACGGGTCAGGAGGCTCTACAACGCTCCCAGCAAGAGATGGCCATGGGGGCAGAGACAGAGCAGTGACGAGCAGTCAGATCCTAGATATACCTCAAAGGTCGCGCTCACAGACTTGACAGACAAGCGGGATGCAACATATGAGAGAGCCAAGACAACCGCAACTGAGCGTTCTTTCCTTACCTCCTTCTAGATTCCAAATTTATTTTGCCAGCTATTACCATCTCCTTCTTTCTCACAACCTACAACTCATAATCTAAATTTCCTCAAAATAACAGTGAATAAGTATGTATTTTCCACCACTTGTCTAGGTGTGGGGGTGGCAAGTGCTAAGATGCAGAGAAGGACAGGGATAGGGGACGCTACTGGAAACAGGACGGTCAAGGGAGCAGAGAAGCGAATGAAGCGAGAAAGTCAGTCACAGACGGAAGCAACGCTCCAAGTGAGGGGACAGCACGTGCAAAATGTAGGCTGTTTTCTCTCAAGTTTATCTCGAAACTGCAATCATAGCTAGAGACGCATAGTAATTTGTAACAGGAGGTTATAGCTACAATGAAAGGTAACTCAGTATGAATTCCGGCAGACGTATTGTGACTAACTTTCATTACTGAAAAGGATGACAATGTTGGTTGAGTCCGTAACAAATACAAGCATAATCCTATTTCTGTCACTTTGATTTTCTTCTACCCACCTGAAGAGGTCTCCAAATTTACTTCTGAGGTGGCTACAGGACACGTAGAGGTCATAGAGGTAGGCTAAGATGCATCTTTCAGGGGAAGAACATTCTGAGGGGTTCACGACATGCTTTACCACGCCACACAACCTAGGGAGAACGACACGGGAAGAAACGAGACACACATTTTGCTAATACGTATGTTACTGTTTCAATCTTTTAGAGTGAGAATACATCCCTTTATAACTTGGGTAAGAAAAAAGATATCAGATTGTTGACACGAATCATTATAGCAATAGTAAATAATTGAATAAAATATCAGTTTTCTATTATGATACTGAAATACTAGATATTAAAAGAAAAAAAACTTCAGAAATGCCATTAACAACGAGAAACAGAAGAAACGAAAGAAATTCCTCCATACTAAAGACATGTATGGAGAAATCTGTCAGTTAAGTTGCTGTGACTAGAACACAAAAGGAAAGCTAAGGAGAGAACCTCCCTTCAGTAAAAAAGATTCACAAATGCAGAGAGTTTGCAAAGATCCTCAAATCCACTCCTTTGTAAACAAGTAATTCTTTAAAACAGTAAATCTGGGAAATCCATTGTCAAGACCATAAGCTGGCTCTGGCAGGAACTTGATGAATTCCTGGTTTAAGGTCACATTCTTCTTGTTTATTCAAACTAGAAACAGATTTATTTTAGTTTATCTTATGTAAGAATTAGAGCCCCTTCTTTTTAGTAACATTCTCTACAAGTCCTTCAGTTCAGAAGTACTATTACTACTCCAGTTCTGTGCCATTTTCCCCAAATCAGAATGGTGGCCTCTTTGGCCATAGTTCATACAACACAAAAGTTCAGACAACACAGAAGTAAACACAAGTGGTCCATCCACCTATATGGGAGTCTAATTCCACTACCATCTTGTATTCTTCTAACACTACTACAATAGTGTCACGGATGATTCAGATTTTTAAAGCTGCAAAGGGCTTTAGAAATCATCTGATTCATCTTCCTCATTTTACAAAGAAGGCTCTAAGGTTCAGCAAGGTGAAGCAACTTGACACAGGCTAAGAGCTGGTTCATATCAGATCCAAGAGGAGAGCTCAGGTCTCCAGACTCCCAGTGCAGAGCTCTCTGCACTATTCAGAGGACAGGGGAAGCCAGAGGGAGCCTAGGAGGTCAAGGCCGAGAAGGACACTGGAATCACAAGTACCACAGGTGACGCCCAGGGAGCTGCAGGAGGAAACGGCAGTGGAGCATCCCAAACCCTGTGAGGTGACAGCAGCAGATGGGGCCACCAGGCAGCTGACAAAAGCTGTCAATTACAGCAGAAGCGGCACATAATTAAGAAGAAAGTGGATGATTCATTCACTGGTTAACATGTAAAAAAAAAAAAAAATCCAGACATAACTTGGATTATTACTCTTCTGGAAAACAGAATTACTTTGTGATTCAAGTCAACAAACACTTAGTGCGAGTTTGCTGGGCATCTACTGCACAGCAGTCAGTGTTCTCTCAATATGTCTTCACTCGCTAGAGGTAAGAAAAACATTTTGTATTGAGATCCAGTATATACATTCATATAAGTACAAAAAAAATTAGTTTCAGGGAAAATACTTATCCTTACCATGTATATTAAAGTAAAAAATAATAAAGTTACTATCAAATATGATTTTATGAACACTTCATAGAACATAAATTTAAACTGTCAAAATAAATGATACTAAAGTAAATTTCAAAACAAACAAAAACAAAAAAATACTTGTCAAAACCTATTATGTTCATTTCATGACCAGCTAATGGGTCTCTGTAGTTTAAAAAATGTGGTATAGGGGCCAGCCCCGTGGCTTAGCGGTTGAGTGCGTGCGCTCCACTACTGGCGGCCCGGGGTTCGGATCCCAGGCGCTCACCGATGCACCGCTTGTCCGGCCACGCTGAGGCCGTGTCCCACATACAGCAACTAGAAGGATGTGCAACTATGACATACAACTATCTACTGGGGCTTTGGGGGAAAAAAAAAGAAGGAGCATTGGCAATAGATGTTAGCTCAGAGCCGGTCTTCCTCAGCAAAAAGAGGAGGATTAGTATGGATGTTAGCTCAGGGCTGATCTTCCTCACAAAAAAAAAAAAAAAAATGTGGTATAAATCAAGCAGTATAAATGAGCTCCTAGTTAGAAAGGCTCTTAGCTGCCCGGGAGATGTATGAGCTCTGTGATGTTGGCTACATCCCTCCTCCAAGCACTTCATTTAACAGGACTGAGTTCCAGTTCCTTGACTTATAAAATGGTCCTAATTACTCACCCTTACAGAGTAGTTGAAGGTTATGAAAGAGTTCTATATTCCCCGAATTCTAAGATGTTTATGTTCTCACATTTAAAAGTATCTGGGATGTTTCAGATTTCACTTAATAATCTACGTGTTCAGGGGCCAGCCCCATGGCTTAGCAGTTAAGTGCGCACGCTCTGCTACTAGCGGCCTGGGTTCGGATCCCGGGCACGCACTGATGCACCACTTGTCCGGCCATGCTGAGGGGGCGTCCCACATACAGCAACTAGAAGGATGTGCAACTATGACATACAACTATCTACTGAGGCTTTGGGGAGAATAAAAAAAAAAGGGAAAAAAGGAGGAGGATTGGCATGGATGTTAGCTCAGGGCTGATGCTCCTCAGAAGAAAAAAAAAAAAAAAAAATCTGTGTGTTCAATTAATGTGGTAGTATTACCTATTCCCCAAAAAAGCTGCTGTTGAAGGGCTGCCACTCTGGAGCAGAGTATAAATTGATTGCTTGTACCAGATTACAAAAAAATGTACTGTGGAACCAACAACCCCATGTTTCTGTTGAGCCCAGCAGGAAAAACAGAAGAAAAATAAAAACAAGTTGTCTTTTTTTCAGAAAGCCCTGGGGAAAATGATCTGCAGTGGACAAAAAGGAGCTTAGTACAGGTTTTTTGAGAGCTCATTATACTTTGCTGGCCCCCAAAACCTCAGCCTCTAATGGGGATGATATCAGGCAATTGCTTAGCCCAACTTCACTAGTGGTAGTAGAGAAAACCTTAGCCTACAATATACACAAACCAAAAAAGAGTAAGAAGCAAGAAAGTCATTTGTTCTAGATTAACCCTTGTCAGAAGACATCTTTAACTTATAAAAGAAATAAAATTGAAGAAGTAAATCTCTAAGATGAGAGTGCATGCAGCAGCAAAGCTGATTTGGTGTTGATTCTCCAAATGTAAACTGAAATTACATAACAAAGTAGCTATCACATATTCACCATTCACACCAAGCCACGATGCTGGGCAGCACAGATGATGGAGTGCTATAAATGACTGGCTTACACTCTGAGAAACAAGGGGGAGGGCAGGGAGGAAGGAATTACACCTTATTAAAAAGAACATACTTTTCATGTTTATACTTCCTTCTTTGGTAAACGTTTTCTTGCAAAATTATTCTTTAACTGTGTTATAGCTTTTCACTGAAACAAATATTGGTACTATTTTTCTCTTAAAACCACTGTAATATTTCATCAGGAATTACACATTCCAGGATGTGAAAGCAATAATGGTATTTCATATACCAACCCTTCGAACACCTGGGCTGTCTGGTCGGGGCTCAGGATGAGACAGCTGTGGTACCGCCTGAGGACAGCCACAATGCAGACACACAGCCCCGTGGTATAACTTCCTGCCAGGCTGGAGGATTTCAGGAGCAGCTCGGCTTCTACAACACTCAGTTCATTTAGGAGCTACAAGGGGAGAAAAGATGCAATAAAAATGCAGCTGCCAAAACAAATAGGAAAAACATTTAACTTGACAAACCACAGATATCTTAAGTCATTCTAACGCTGCTCGATCTTGCCCCTTATCCTGCCCCAGGACCGTAAACACAGACAACTACAGTCTCAGAAAACATACCCTAACTAATTCAACTGGTTTTTATTGTTAATCCTTTACCAAATTATACAGTTTTTCTTCTGTCTAGACATCATGGTACATGCAATCCGAAAGTACCCAATACTGAAACGGTCACCAAAACTTCATGGCAGCCCAAATTTCTGGACTGGATAATTTCAGAGAAGAACATCCCTACCTCTCACTTTTTTTCCCCTTTTACCCTTCTTTTTCATAAAACAGAAGTGATTTATCATTATTTTCTTGTTATTAACAAAGCCAACACCTCCAATAGAATAAGCAACAGAAACCAAGTTTTATTTCTATTCACTAATAACATAAGATGATAAATGAACTCAAGTTTATGTATAAGAAATACAGCAGGACAAATCAAATGATAAGGTTTTATTTTTTTACTCTTAACCTAAAATACAGTGTTATAAATGGCAAAGAAACTGTCACCTTTTCCTAAGCAAAATAACAAGACAATAAAACTGTCCTCAAAACTCCCACATTTTTAAATGACTTACATATTTTAGCACCATATTATAATTATTTAATTGAAAACTAGAACCACAGGTGCAATTAAAATGCTAGTTGAATACGGTTGATTCATAACGTCTCAATTATTCAGAAATGCATCAGGTGGCTCAATTTAAATTGTATGATGCCTGGCAGGTTTGCTTTCCTAAACATGAGAGAAGTAGGGTCTCTTTGACACCTGTATTGCGAAGTCAATTAGTCCATTGATGTTCAGGGCTGGCTCCATGAGATCAAAGATGAGCTGAACGTGGTGAGCCAAAGGGAGATGATAGGACGTTCCTGACGCAAAGCTTGTGATCTGCTCCAGCACATTGTTAGAGATCTGTGTAAAAAAAGAGTGAAAATAATTACAAGACCAATATTCCAGATAATTTTTTATTTCACAAATTATTTTAATATTTTAAGTAGGAAATTTGAATTTATATGTGATTCTACTTAGAAGAAAGTTAAAACATCTTTCTACAGAAAGCAAAATCATGGACAAATCAAACTTCCTTACTGCAACTATAATTTGAAGAAATAAGCCAACTTGTCATTAAGATCTAGACTTAACTATCGTAAAGGGAGAACAACTGCAAATGCTGATTAATTTACAAATGCTGATTAATTTCCAAATAATATCTATCTGAATATCAATGGATTTGTAAAACAGAACAGATTTGGTTTCTTCTCAACTGCACAGTATTTTATTTCGGTCATCAACAGATTTCCCCCTTATCAATAGCAATGTAGAACCAAAATGGAAGTATTGCATTAGGGATTATTTTACATAGTGTTGATTATTATCATAAGGTAAAAATAATTTCATGAGAAAAGTTAATTCTTCTGAAGGCAACCTGACAGTTAAAACTGAACTACTCAATAGTTTGAGATGCTTCCATATGTTTACGTTATGTTTATAAAACCAACTAAAGCCAAAAACATACTGCATGAATGCAACGTTAAAGGACATGTAAATATCCCACAGGTATAACCAAACAGCTTTAGACGGCCACCTGAGACGTCACGTGATGCTGATCAAAATACGACAGGAGTTGAAGTTTGGTGAACACGGTCTCCAGTGTTGGAAAGGCCTCCTGTTTGCTCTTCCTGGCTTTCTGTCCTTCATCTCCAACTAAACAAACACGGTAGATTCATTACTTTCCATTTAACAGAATCTCTTGACTTTCTGGATGGATATTTTTTATTGAGGTATAACAAAAGTGCACAAAAGCTATGAATTTCTGCAAATTAAATACTGATGAAATGAAACTCAAATCACAAAATCACATACCAGAACTCCAGAAACCCCCACCGGCCCACTCAGTCACTTCTCTCTCCCCAGGGGACCAAAATCCTGACTTCCAACAGCGGGGAGTGGTACTGCCCACTTCAGAACTTTATACAAATGGAACTACACAATATCTACGTGTAACATCTGCATCTTTCACTCAACATTATGCTTCTGACATTGATCTCTATTGTTGAGGTAATTTTAATTTGTTCTAAAAATTAATAATTCTCATTCATAAACAGTATACCAATGTGTAACACTATACTACCCATCTATCCATTCTAGTGAGTAGTTCCTAGATTTTGGCTACTATGAGATGTGCCTCTGTGAACATTTCTAACTGACTGACTTAAAATGCGATGATATCAACAATGAAGGGGAAAAAATCACCCAGGCTCACTCTGACATAACAGGTAACTTCACCGGCAGCTTAGGAGACTTACTGTGATATTTTTTCCAAACAGTTTAATATTTAAAAAAGGTACACGATTCCTAACACTTTTAGGGGTAGCAAGAATTAAATTACTCCACATTAACGGGAAAGTGCTACATTGATGAATTCATCATAAAGAAATTTGAAGAAAATTCCAATAAGAAAATTTTATACATATTGCTTATTCCAGAAGAGGGAATTTTGTTCTTCTCAAGAGTTCTAAGGGTAAGATCTAAAAATAATTAGATCTTGTTTTTAAATATTTCTGAATATACGTATTTACCAAGACAAAACGAAAAAGGAAAAGGAAAGATTGGATTAAGTTCAGTTTGAGAGAACAAAGGTCACTTTACATACTTCTCTATTAAAGACACAGGAGGGATTTCACTGAACTCAGAAAGATTTTGCAAATGGCAAATATAATGGTTTTAGAAAGTAACAAAAAGTAGACTTCCCCTTCATCAATAAGCAATTATAGTTTAAGCCCCTCCTCCCCAAAAAACAACCCCAGGTTGTTTCGTCTTAATTTCCTAAAACAAACAAACAATACCTGATACCAGAGTAAATCAGAATTAAAAGGTGCTGAGTAACATAAGGTATAAGATTGCACCACTTTCGTCAAATAACACCAAACAAAACACAAAGAACAAGAACTAAGAAGTTCATTAACCTACTTGTTTTTCAATGTCTATTCTCAAAGGCACAAATTAACGGTGGAATTTTGCCTTCAATATAGCTGCTTGCATGTCATGAGCATGTTTAAAATATCCAAGTTTTGTATTTTTTCATTTATACTAACATCATTGATCCAAGACTGAAAGCTCACATCAATAGTGTTGGTTACAATGTGCTTTAAAACTGAAGTTAACGTAATTATTTAGTCCTTCCTGGGACCAAAATGAATAAAGAAACAAAAATCACAGACATGAGGAAGCAGATCCAGCATGAGAACTCAAATGCATCTCTGTCTGTTTGTTTGTTTTGCTAATAGGCTCCAGTTACTTACATATAGCTAACTTAAAATCTCATATAGAAAAGACGTAATTGATTCTCAGCAATTTACATTTACTTTCAAAGAAAAATATAAGAAATTAGTGGTGGTTCTCAATGGAATAGTTTATTTTAATGATATTTACATGAGTTACAATATAGTCATAATTCATAGATTTCCCTCATCTGTCTTATGTTAATATGCATTCATAATATATATTATTGCTCTTTTGTTGCTTATTTTTGGTTTTCCTTTTTAAAAAGTCTTTAAATCCCAGAAGTTTTGGCCTTTTAGACATTGTTACAGTCAACTTCATTAATATTTTCAAAAGACATACTATTGAAAACCAAAAATGACTAGTCAATGCAAATGTAAAATGAGGTATGACCTCGTTCAGCTGGAAATGCCATTTAAGCACTAGATGACAATTCACCCAGGGAAGGCCTGGCTGGTCTCAGAACACTCCTAGTGAGTTCTTCAGTCATATTTTTATGTGTGGCCAGAAATCAATACACGCCAACACAAGCTCTGGTTTCCTGCCTTATCAATCCTCATCCTTGCAGAAAAAAGTGGGCAAATTTCCACTAATCTGAGGCACAGTTAGCCAGCTTCTGGTGAGCATGCTAGGCTTCAAGTGGTGACTTGAACTTAGACCATTTATCAGAAGACAGCTCACTACATCCCAAATTAACACATTTCTGGCTGAGGAATTTTATCTAAAAAGAGGGAAAGACAAAAATCTCCTTTGACAACACCTCTCCACATTGGTGCTTCTATTACTGATATCTCAAAAAGCAGCTTGAACAACAATGTTTTTCTCTTTGTGAGTTCATAAGCGAGAACTGCTTATTTAAGAGACTGGTACAAGGACAGGATAGACTACAGTCTGGCATTAAAGACTCCGTGGAGGAAGGAAGCAGACTCAACAGAAAAGGATACCACATTGCTTCCTTCCCCTTCTCACCCCTCTCAGCCCTCCAAAAACGAAAATTCTGCAGGACCTGGAAAGACTCGCCAAAATTAATATAGATAAAACATGTATTACTGAACCTTCTAAAGGAGATAGTGTCCACCCCATTTCCACGTATACAAAAAGTAGTTTCAAATATTCTTTGTTAGCTAGTTGCAGGGCTTCTAAATTCAACCTTCTAAATGCAACCCATTTCCTCTTTTCTCTGAGAGAGAAAACAGCAAAACAACAAATTGATAGTTTTTCTTAGAGCAGTTTCTTTCTTTCAGGCCCAATAAGGACAGGCCTACAACAACAGGTTTCGTTTCCCTTCCACATTCTGGGTTGTCCCCTCACGGAGCCAGAGTATTGCAAGATTCTTAACTGGCAACAGGACGGAGTGAGGGACTGTGATGTGGATCACACGAAGGGAACTTTCCTATCGTGTTCTCAGGACCACCACATCCCATGTCAGACCCCTGCACCACCACAGTCAGACTGAAAACAGGTTGCCCTTGTACCTTCTTTCTGCATGTGTGCCCCTACTGGTGGAGAGAAAAGAGAGCTTTCTGCATTAGGTACCTCTGTACTTTTCTGCAGGAAAGATCCACCGTGGATGAGCTCTAGTAATTCAGCCAGTTAGAGTCTAAAACATTGGATCCTCTTTGGAGAGGTTCATAAAAAAGTATTTGTTTTGTACTGAGCAACAAAGCAGGGTTCCCGGGGTGGTTTATGCCAAGTGCGGAAGTGTGCTGTTTGCATAGGGAAAACTCAAAACTTGCCTTTCTCTGTGTTATCTAAGTACTAGAGAAACAAACACCAGTGGTGGGAGTGGAGTATACATAATGATATCATATTTTCAATCATAGGACTGCCTAATAAAACAAACAAATCTTGAAAAGAGTAATTAGGCAAATGTGAAGTGGACAATTACAAAATCCAATTATGCAATGTGGTGACATAACATGAAGGCATAGCTTCACTGTAAAAACTCTGTAAAAGCATGGGGAGAGATTATTGCAAGTAGAGAAGGCGTACAGAGCAAGGAACCAATTTTCTTTCTTACTTGAAATTATCCGGTGCTATGGGTAGCCCCCACGACCTACTGCAATTATTCTTCTGAATAATGTAAGAAAGGATCAGCAGCTACATCATCATAATTTTCAATTATCACGCAAATATGAGCACCCAGAGCAAACCATGAGCTAAAAGGACGGACAAGAATGGGGGAAATGGACCTCTTCTAGACTAAGGGTTTATCAAACTCTCGCTTCAGTACTTCATTTATGAACACTGTAGAAAATTTAGTAAGTATTAAAAAAGAGTAGAAAATAAAAATTACCCAAATCTATCTACAGAACATGCTATTTTCATACAAAGATTACTATAAATGGACCCAAGGCCTCAAAATGTCAACGTGCTGACTCATATTTCAATGTGACAGTCATTCGGGAGAGGAAACACTGGCGACCATGCCGTGTACCCTTTGATAAGGATGTGCTGAGGGAGCCTGAGGACAGCACGATGGAGCACATGCAAAGACTCCTCACCCCCGGTCTCGGTGCTGCTCTTCTTATTTAGGATTTTCAAAATATCTTTGGTAATTTTCTTCAGCTGATGCCTCGCTTCATCACGCTCCTTGCCCACTCCATAAAGAAGGATTGTGCGCTGGTTACACTCATGACTTGAAGATTCATCCTGAAAAACAGAAAATGCATCCTGAAGCTCTTGTTCCCACCCATGACATGCACTGACCACAGCATCTCCACGCCGGCTTGCGGTGTGGCATCCTACCACCCACCTCTCAGTTCACCTCAGCCTCCACTGGCAACACTTTGTTTTTCCAGTTTGGAACTGCTCAAGTAAAAAAAGTGTCAACTGACCTGAAGTCTAGCAAGAAGCACTTGATGTGGGCGTACCCTCCAGAGTAAGTTTTGACTACTAAAAAACGTTTCATCTTTTAAAGTTTAGCACGGTGTTAATTTCATATCCTATTACATACTACCCAGTCATACTTCTTCCTCAAGGAAAATGTTGCTTCTTAGTAAGCTTGAAGTTATTTCTTAATACAGCATCATTAAATATTTTATATTTAGAAAAAAAGATCTTGCTAGGATCTTCAAGTACTTTTATAAAAAAATGTTCCATTTACTTCCAACATGACAGTGTGAGATACATGGATATTTACCTCCAAATGACAAAACAATAAAGAGCGCAGGTCTCATGAGGTGTGAGGTAAACAGCTGGAAATGCAAACATGTTCTGACAGCACCTTCCTCTCCCGGACCACCCTCCAGCCCTGCCCCACAGTCACAGGGAATTCAAGCACACTTTTTCCCACACAGGAAGGGAAGTTATTTAGTCACAGCATAACAAGAACAGAGATACACCACTAAACATATTCTTTAGCCAGAGTTAATTAAACAGTGAGAGACATGTTCTCTCTTACGCCTGCTTTTGAATTTTTCTATCTAAATTTCTCTCTTGGATCTCTTTCACTTCCATTTTCTTAGTAAAATCCCCAACTCTCTCCTCCAGTCTCTCTCCTTTCCTTACTGTCTGTACCTGTTGCCCACACTGAGTGCTTACCCTTCCTAACAGCGTCTAATCCAGAGGAGCTTACACGAGAAAGAACGTCTCCCAGGAAAAACAAACTGTACCGTGTTCATAGTGAGTAGTGGCTGCAAAAGAGGGAAAAATCCTTGGGATCTGGAGAATTCCAGTGTTTAATCTTGAGTACTCCAGACATGTGTGTACTCTGCACAACACAGCATGTGGCTTCTGTAGCCTTGAAAAGAGAGCCTGTTTTCTCTCTCCGTCTCTGTCACTTTCCTCTTGTCTCTTTCTGTCATTCTGTCTCTCTCACACCCTTGCATTCAAGACACCACTTCTCCTTACACTGGTTCCTTTCCTATTATACAGTTGTATACTCTGCCAACCTATCTTGCTGCCCCAACCCCAAATAATTATTAACGTTTCAAGTGTTCAAATATGCCTCCTTTAAAAAAAAAATCTAGGAGCAAGTCTCTTCTAAAAGCTGTTGCTATTTACTATCCTGAGCATCCAAATCTCCCCCAAATTGTCAAGACAGAACTAAGCACAGGATAAGCCGACACAGGCAGCAATGCCTACACCTGGTTGCACATCTGAACAACCTGAGCTGCGTGTCAGTCTGCGATCTGTGTGGTTGGTACACTGCATTACTGATACATTTCTTTTCTGTCTGGCGGGATGTGTACATAGGAGCCCATGAAGGGAAAAGGAGGGCACTGAGAAGGTACAGAACTCGGCAGTGCCACTCACTTGTCCAGGTACCTGTCAGATGGCTCTAATGTAACCCTCTGTGTGAGGGGTGATGGAAAGATGTTAGCAAAGGCAGTCAACACCTGTTTATAGAGTATCCACCTACGGCAAGACAAGGTTCTAGGAACCCTGAGAAAATGCACGGATGCATGTCAAGTCTGTCCTCAAGGAGCACAGACTCAGCGTGAGCAAAGCAGCATTTGCAGAGCCAGAAACCCAAACAGGGATGGGGAGGGAAGGTCTCCTGGGAAGATCCACATGCTCATCACAATCACACAGATGCTACGGCTCCACATTGTTCCAACAGCAGCCCACGCTCGGGTAAGGGAGGGCGAGACTGCATTCCGGGTGCAGCACCTGCCAACTCCATGGTCCTGGAAAATGAGCCTCTCTGAGCCTCAGACACTTCCTCTGAGAAAATGGGGGGCCGCCACCTTCCTTGAGAGGTGTTTGTGAGAATAACTGAGACGAGGTGTGTATCAGACACAGCGCCCACCACCTGTTTCTACACTTCCACTTCGCTCTCGCACGCAACCGCATCCACAGTGTCACACATCACTCAAAAGTCCCCACGACCCCGGGGCACTTCCTTCCTTTGCTGTCGCTCCTTCCACCACCTAAAATACTTTCAACAGCCTCAGCTTCGCTTGTGGAAATGCCATACACAACTACAGCGCCAGGCCACTCTGTCACCTTGGTTTAGTGAAAGCCCTCACCACAGGAGGGGCAGGGAGGGGAGGAGAGCCTTTTGGGCATTTACCACAGTGTAATTCACTTACTCTCTAGGTGTCTGTTTAATGTCTGTCAATTTTGTGAGGGAAAACCCAGGTCTGCTTTATTCACATTTATATTCTCCTTATTCGGCACTGATTAGGCACTTAATATTTGTTGAATACAAGAAACAATGAATAAATAAGTGGATTAATGTAAAAAGACATGATTAAAAAAATAGGGCAAGGTTGAAGATAAGAACAAAAACTAGTTTCGTAGGGAACTTAACCTGATAAGTGCCGACAAAACTGAAAAGAAGAAAGGAGAAGCAGAGAGAAAGTTAGAGCAAAAAAGTTTGTAAGGTGTATACCAGGTCTTAGTGGCGGGAATAAAAAATAAGAAATAAAATCAACAGGTGTCTGAAGGAAGTGAGGAATGGATCAGACATCTAAGTGAATGTGCATCTCAGTGGATTTCAAGATGGACTCACTAGATACAGTCTGTTGGAGGGAAAAGGGAAGGTTATAAGGGCAGAGGGCTCATGAATTTACCTCTGGGTGAGAGGAATTTGAGGGGTAGGTGGAAATGCACTATAAATGTCTACTAGGTGGTTGGACGTGGCGACTACTGCAGAGGTGACAGCTTAGGGCTAAGAGCAGTACGTCACGGGAGGGGTGCAAGCCCCACATTATCTTTCAGAGGGAAGAACAAAGAGAAATGATAAACAAGCCATCAAATGAGCCACACTCTCTCCCCATAATGAACAAGATGACTGGAAAGGTCACAGAAGTTAGCAGAGGGGACATGTAACAACGGGGGCCATCAACAGAGTCCAATGTAGGGAAGAAGTCACAACGGATGTGGCCCCTCTGACTTGCTTATTAAAAGAAAACCACAAGTGAACCTCAAAAGAGGGGTTTCTCTAGAGCGGTGTTGCAGAAAGCAGGAAACGGGGTGGAAGCAGGAACAGATGGTGAGCTAGAGGAGGGGAGGGAAGTGCCCCACATTTGCGAGTAGTCGGGCATGGAGAAGAAGAGCTGGGGAGGGAAGGGAAGTTTTCTCAGGATAATCAACAGCAAACTCTTGTTCAAAGCTACACTTCAAATAGAGGAGTCTCCATAAAGGAAACCCGGATTGGAGATGACTGATAAAGGAGATAGGAAACCACGGCCTCTTGTCTGGATTAACTGGGAAAGAAACATGGAGACGTCTTTCTACTGAACCACAGGGAAAAAAGACACTTGGTGAAAATACAGGGAAATATGGACGTGAAGAACTGAGGGACTTGAAAAGCTCGTGTCAGTCCACTGGCCCTGACAGGCTCAGGGAGCTGGGCCAGAGGCAAAGTCAGGAGTTGAGAGTGAGGGGATGAATTACAAAGCAAGAGCAGGGCCCGGTGGCACAGCGGTTAAGTGCACGCGCTCTGCTGCCGTGGCCCGGGGTTCACCAGTTCGGATCCCGGGCGGGCACCGATGCACTGTTTGTCAAGCCATGCTGTGGCGGCGTCCCATATAAAGTGGAGGAAGATGGGCACAGATGTTAGCCCAGGGCCAGTCTTCCTCAGCAAAAAAAGAGGAGGATTGGCAGATGTCAGCTCAGGTCCGATCTACCTCAGGGAAAAAAAAAAGCAAGAGCAGCATGCATTTAGCTGGAAAAGAATCACCAGTCAACCACTATATGGGGTATGAAGACGGTATTTGTTTCTGATAGCTAATATTTTTAGAAAAACCATGATAGCTGTTACTAGTCTTCAAATAGGAAAGGCAGAGAAAGGTGACTGCTTTTCAATAGCCTAAGAGATTTGTTTTTATCAGTTTTCTGTACATGCAGAAAATATGTAAGGCTTCAAATAGCAATTTATACTACATGAGAATAAGGTCAACCTAAGAGGATGGACCAAATATTTCCAAAGGTACCAATGAGCTCTGCTCTTTCAAATAAGTATTATTAAAACACTCTCGAGTTGCACTGTTGTAAGTAATATCAATGATTGGAGATCAGTACCAAAGAGTTACTCTATTATTTATACCCTGAAGGACACATTTGTAGGGCAGGAGAAAGAATCAACTGGATTGTCCATAGACTCACAGCTGGGGAGTCCACGGAAGGCTAGTTATCCCTTTCACGCTAGCCCGCTGCTGTCCTTGGGTTGAACAGGTCATCGCCCCTGTAAACTGAGTTCTGAAAATCTCATCCTCTAGATCAATTACTTTCTTTCTCCAGATAACATCTCACACTCACAAGATTTAATTGATCAAGAAACTAGGAGGATGGACATCCAAAAGCCTGGGGGGGCTGGTTGCACTAGAGAAATTAAAATATGTCTCTTGAGACAAATATTCTTACAAGGAAGAACTGGAGTTAACTGAATTGAAGTACGCTCTAAGTCATCTTCATTTCTTTAAAATAAGTGATTAGAAACGTTGCCAAAATGCGTGTGTGCTCACAAAGACGTGAGGATGCGAGGTTGTAAGAGCTCTGTACTCTCCTTTCCCCTATTCACATCTTCCGATATTTCCACGGTGACCCAACAATCGTAGAATTTTAAAATTAATCAGTTAATGTTCTTTTGAACGGGAATTATAAACAAACCCCACTCTGAATGTGCTTCCTTTTCTTCTAAACACTAATGAAAAACAGATGAAGTAGATGCAATTGTCCTAATAAAACAAAATGCAGCATTTCCAACTCCCCCAACACTCTTGAATTTTCTATGTTCAAATATTCAAATGCAAACCCAGTATACATCATGAAGTAAACTGTGCACAGTATCCTACCTCATCTCCAAAAAAAGAAGTAAAAAATACTTTTAAAAAACAATGAATTTTATTTTAATCTATTAATATGAAGAACTCTTAAAACAGGTTATTTCCTTTAGCTGAATCTTTTAATATGCCACGTTATGCTGTGTAGAATAAAATAACTTCAAACGAATGTTTCACAGGTAATAAGCCTTAGGCTGGCATGGGAGAATGGTGTTCTCTGGGCGCGGGAGGCTGTGCTCAAGGAACAAGAAATTAGCAGCTTCTTCACCTGACCTGGGGTAGTCTTTCTTTAAGAAAATCCTTTAGTTAGATTTGCATAGGAAATCTCTGTCCTATGACAGCTTCTAGTCCACAGTAGGGCTGAAAGCAGGCCTTTACCCAACAAACTCAGCGCATCCTAGGAGCATAATGGATGTCCAGGGGTTTAACTGCATACATCAGTCCTCTACTTTCAAGCAAAGTACTCAAGACGGGGATGACAAATAACTGGATCACCAGAGGTAGCATTCTCTTTCGCTAAACACCCCAACGTCCAAGACTCCTTACTTTTTTTTGGTGGGGAGAGGAAAATCAGCCCTGAGCTAACATCCATGTCAATCCTCCTCTTTTTGCTGAGGAAGACTGGCCCTGGGCTAACATCTCTGCCCGTCTTTCTCCACTTTACATGGGACGCCGCCACAGCATGGCCTGACAAGCAGTGCGTCGGTGCGCACCCGGGGTCCGGACCCGGGCCGCCAGCAGCGGAGTGCCCGCACTTCACCGCTACCCCACGGGGCTGGCCCCAAGACTCTTTACTTTTTGTATTGGTCTTACATCTAACCTAAATTTCTATACTCACAGGCAAAGCCAAGCTAGATGACACAAGTAAAATGCTGCCTCAAAATGCAGGTGCTCAATCGAAACATTCACTAATGTCAAAATGACTACATTTACAACCCATAAAATGTTAGAACCAACACAGCCTAAGAGCTAATCGAATGGCTTAATTACTTTGCCATCCTCCTGCCCCAATCTGGTTCCACAACAACCATAGGATCCTTTTCAGGCATGGCCCTCTGGGTTCAGAGGAATCCCATTTGAAGCAAATATTTTCAGATAAGCAGATTACCTTTACCAGACTTGGCAAAATAAATAAACAACTAAACCACTGCATGTAAAAATTCTGGGGTATGAGTTCATTTTTCTAAGTCATCCCAATCATAGAAAATAACCAAATCATTCAAGGCTAGTCCTGCTCCCAGTAGTAACACATACAATAACAAACTGTGTGTGTTGCCGTTGTTTATTAATGAGAGGCTCAAGCGCATAACTTGCTCTGCTTCTACTCGTATAATATACTTTTGTAACCTGAGACACTTCTCACTTACAGATTTTAGTCACTCTCAGGGTCAAGCGGTCTAAGTGGGTAATTGGCAGTCATCCTCCAACGAGAAAGTATCACAGAGAAGGTTCACCCACGGGTGTGGTCGTGAGTCAAACCAGAGCAGGGAGAGGGGGCATTCAGATCAAGAGCTGGAGCTGTTCCTCTCCCCTCAGATCCCGGTTCACAGACCTTCAGGTTTCTGGAGATGTAAGTTCTCAATGAAGTACAGGATTTCAGTCTTCTGAGCCGGTGCTCCTTTAGAATGGCATACTAACTTGTTGAAAATAGTCTTTTCTTTCCCCACAAGCCTTGTTTTATCTGCAGATCTTAGACACACCTCATAAACATCCTTTAGAGTTTATAATTTGCTGTAAAGGAAAGTATGACTCCTATTTTCCTGAAAGTGCAGCCATGCCATTCATGGCAGTCAATCCCCATTCCTCCATGCCAGGTAGGGGTCTGGGAGACAGTGAGATGGGGAGGACTTTCAGGCACACAGTGGTTACCAACGCAGGCTATGGGGTCGGACAGCATGCGCTGAAACTGGGTCTCTAGTTAACTTCACTGCTCTGCTCCTCGGCTTTCCCTCATCCAGAGAGTGGAAACAATATGCACATCTACTTCAGAGAGAGGTTGAGATCGTTAAAGGAGTTAATTCATGACAACATAAGAAATCAAATGTTGGCTATTATTAGTGTGAAGTGCATGCAGCATAAAAATTCTATCAAAAAGTATAATCTGTGTCTCCAAATCAACAAATTAAGATTTGTTTACTGCAATAGTCAAACTTTAAAATAACAATAACTTAAGAATACTAATCTTTCCACGACCTTAATATCAAACTGACATGATGACTAACAGATCAGGATCATTATGTAACGGAAATTTCCTAATGAAATTACTCAAATTCGTAGCTTCATTTCAAATTCTTAATGCCAACAAATTACTTTCATGAGCTTAAATCAGCGGTCCTCAAACCTCAGCGCACACCAGCATCAATTGGAGGCTCATTAAAATGCAGATGACAGATGCAGCCCAAAGAAAAGAGTCAGTAGGGCTTGGTTCAGTGCCCAAGAATGTGCACATCTCACAACTTCTCAGGTGAAGCCTGGCTGCTGTTCTGCACTTCAAGAACCACTGCTGAAGATTAACATATGCAGAGAAAGACACATGCAAAACTCAGAAGAAATAACCAAAACATGTTCCCAGCAAAGGCATCTACCCCAGTGGTTCCACTGGTAACAGAAGGATATTAGAGTTCGAAACAGTGTGTGTGTGTACATGCCCACAATACTATTTATATTAAGGTAATAGTGATACAAGGATCCCTTAATTTAATGATATATTTCCCCAAAAAAACAAAAGCCAGGTTAAAAGAAAGAAGAATAATTTGTTTATATTTCAATTCTGTTCAAGAAAAGCATAAAAGACACTTTATATAATAAGCCTGGCAATGAATACAACTGTTCTTCTTTTCTAATGTGATTGTGGATTCTTATAATTTATAATGGGAGGAAACTGTTTCTCCTACAAAGAGTTGATCAAACACAGATTTAAAATAATGACATTATTAACCAGGGAAAAAACAAAGAGCAAGAGACTTAACATCCCTAACAAGCACACATTTTTAGTTAATGTAATTACTTGTTAAAACGTAATATATCACCCAATGTCGAGCACAATGCGTTTTCAGGTAAATAATCATCTGAGAAAGCAAGCTTGCGAGCTTCTCCAGGAAGCAGACCTCGAAAGGCTTGATCTCAGCTTGGATTTATCCTTTGCATGGAAAATAACCAAAAGAACTCATAAAGCATCAACTCTACGGCAGGTTTCAGTAAAAAGCCGCAAGATTTTAAATTGCTTTTTAAAAGATGAGTGCTCACCCACCCTGCCCCACATTTCCCAGGGAAATAAAAGCAGAAGTCCTAGAAGCAGTCAGACGGAAATCCAGTGTCTGCACAGCTGTCAGTCTGCAGTGTCTGAAGGTAAATCTGATTGTGAAGACCTCTCCCTCTCTCTCCCTCTATTTCTCTCTAGAACACTCAAGACTTGACTGATAAAAGCTCAGCAAACTCTTTATCAAAAAGAGTTTTAACAACTAAGCTAAGACATTAAGAGGACAAGACCAGATGCCACTCTGCAGGTTGCATTAACTACCACCTACTGGATACATCCCAATCCTTCAGAATCAAGAGTAACCAGGTAACTTTTGCATCTAGAAGTATTTGAAAAATATATGTATTTACACTGTGATGTGTGTGTAATTTTTTTCAAGTTTTCTTAAAATTGGAAATCTTTCCTAACAATTAATATCAATGCAAGCACTTATTTGGAATAAAAATTAAAATGCAAGCCACACAAACGGTGTTAGAGACAACCATTAACCTCTTCATTAAAAAAAAATTATACAGAGCGTGGAAATAAAATGCAAATAGTCTTACTTATTTTTCCTGGGGTGTAAAATGAGACTTAAATTTGGATGGAGCTGAAATTCTCAATATCAAGAACATTAGTTAAATAAGTTACAGTCTACACAGAATGAGCATTCCTAAAGTAGAATTTCCAAAACTATCAGAGAAAGCACAAATAAGAGCAAACAGCAGGGAAGCTTAAATACCAGTGTCATTGTTAGCAACTAAATACTGGGTTTTTTGTTTGTTTGTTTGTTTTTAACTTAAATAGGTGAGGAGGTGGTGAAAATTGAAGCCATAATATTGACCACAGGAATCTTAATTGCTTCACTTTCAATAATTAAAGGATGACAAAAAGAATTCCACTGGCATTTTGGGGAATTTAGTGCTACCTTTGTCATACTTGAATCTGCTACATGGAAGCTTTTTTTTTTAATTCAGATATTTGTACTTTTAAAATTACTGTGTCATATTTGGGAACAATTTTATGTAGAATCAATTCTATTTGTCTTTGATGAAATGAAAATATGACAAATTTCATTTTAAATTTCAAAACTTAGATGTCATATAATGTATTCAAGTCAAGTGTTAGTTTTCTTGATAGCTGCCTGTTGTGGTATAATAACTAGTGGATCCACACAAGGACATGGTTTTGACATTTTATTTTAGCCACCAGGATACACTCCATCAATCTAGAAAGTATGCCCTAGCTGTTGTGAGGAATGCCAACAAATGACAACATACAGAGGCCATATCCTTAATTTTTACTGTTTTAAAATTTGTACTGAATGATATTCAAGAACATATACGTGAAATCTTCAAATATACTGAGCAAGGTTGGAAATGAAATACACATGGGTTAAAACACTGGAGCTAAAGAACGAGTCTCTGTGAGGCCAATTTTTGAATGAATGATTGAGCAATACGGAGAAGAAACAGATTCTAATTATAAAGGAAATTTTTTTTTCTGAACCAGTATTTTTTTAACAATAAATTTCCAAGTGATTGTACACAGATTTCTTCCCATTTTTGACTTTAAAATTCTAATAAGCAATTCTCAGTCATTTCCCCTTAGAACCTTTGATGGGACTAGAGCAAACGAAGTCCAGGAATAAGACTGGTGTAGGAAAAGTGACTTGTGAATAGAAACAAAAAAGTTAAAAGGCATGGAGATGAAGCTGGAGAAAAAGAAAGCAGAGAGCAGATATTTCTCTTCTAGTTTTTATATATAAATATACGTGGGCTTTTGCCTCAGATCAAAAAGGGACTACAAGAGGCAAACATTCAACAGATAAGAAATCCAAGGTATCCACTCCTTCATATAATATACTTCAGATCGTTTTACTTTGCTAGAGATGGAATATTTGCTACAGTGAAGTATTTCGAGATTCAGTTTTCTGTGTTCCCACTAACTGCCACGATGAGGAATAGAAACCAATTTTTAGAGAAGGCTGTCCAAAAAAGGGACACCCAGAGATAAGAGCAAAATCAACTCTCTGGGACTGAAAATATCCATCCTCTTCCTCCCTCTCTAGGTACCAAAGAAGAAACGCCGCCATGGACAACCTCACCTCTGCGGCTGGGAACAGCAGCCTATGCACCAGAGATTACAAAATCACCCAGGTCCTCTTCCCGCTCCTCTATACGGTCCTGTTTTTCGTTGGACTCACCATAAACAGCCTGGCAATGAGGATTTTCTTCCAAATCCGCAGTAAATCCAACTTTATTATTTTTCTTAAGAACACAGTCATTTCCGATCTTCTCATGATTCTGACTTTTCCATTCAAAATCCTCAGCGATGCCAAACTGGGGACAGGACCCCTGAGGACCTTTGTGTGCCAGGTGACCTCCGTCGTATTTTACTTCACAATGTATATCAGTATTTCCTTCCTGGGACTGATAACTATCGATCGCTACCAGAAGACCACCAGGCCATTTAAAACATCCAACCCCAACAATCTCCTGGGGGCTAAGATCCTCTCTGTTGTCATCTGGGCTTTCATGTTCTTACTCTCTTTGCCTAACATGATTCTGACCAACAGGAGGCCGAGAGACAAGAATGTGAAGAAATGCTCTTTCCTCAAATCAGAGTTTGGTCTGGTCTGGCATGAAATCGTCAATTACATCTGTCAAGTAATTTTCTGGATTAACTTTTTAATAGTCATTGTATGTTACACGCTCATTACGAAAGAACTGTACAGGTCATATGTAAGAACAAGGGGCATGGGCAAAGCCCCCAGGAAAAAGGTGAACATCAAAGTTTTCATTATCATTGCTGTGTTTTTTATTTGTTTTGTTCCTTTCCATTTTGCCCGAATTCCCTACACGCTGAGCCAAACCCGGGACGTCTTCGACTGCGCTGCTGAGAACACTCTCTTCTACGTGAAGGAGAGCACTCTCTGGCTAACGTCCTTAAACGCGTGCCTGGACCCCTTCATCTACTTCTTCCTTTGCAAGTCCTTCAAACACTCCCTGATGAGTATGCTGAAGTGCCCCAAGTCTGCAACATCTCCAACCCAAGAAAACAGGAAGAAAGGACAGGATAGTGGTGACCCAAGTGAGGAGACTCCCATGTAAACAAATGAGGAAACAGTTCATGGGCTAGTGTGGGGAAGGCCTAAAAGGAAAGCACTATGTAAAAATGTTAACACTGACTAAGCAGCAGCCGAGTTAGTAGGACAACTCTTTAAACAAGTAATAGAAGACTACAGAAGTACTTTTCATTTACTTTTCCAGTATTAAAAGCTATCTTAAAATGTAGAAGAATAAGCTAACCTGTAGCTAAGTAATAAAACAATCTGCATCCAATCCCACGCTCCATGCAAAACTACACAGAATTCACGGTCTGTAGAGTTCAGGCAAAATGGGTAGCCATGTAATCGTATCTACTGTAATTCTTTAAATACATCATTGATCACAATGTTATTTTTTTATAATCAACTAAGGAAGAATGATAAATTTGATAAAGTCTTCTGACCAAAAATTAAGATGTATATACATCCTAGTCCCCTAACCAGATGCTGACCTATTGTGATACTCGTTAGAAAAATTGAAGTAAGTGGGACATGCAAAGAATAATAACTACTAGCTTTTAATTATTAGCAAAAACCTAAAGGATTTAAACTAATTGAAATGGTAATTGATTGGACTGAATTTTTTTTTAATTTTTCATTAAGATGGAGGTTTAAAAGATATCATTCCAATAAGAGCAAAAATAGCAAATAAAGTTATCAAAATAAGGAGTTATTTTTATGAAATTCTAATACCAAAAAATATTAATATTTCCTTAACACTAGAGAAACCAGTTTTACTAATATTTGACAACTTCAGTAAATAAAACACTGTCATTGACACTTACTTTATTAACTAGCTTCTAGAAACTACCTGCTGCTTGGGTTAATAAACATTTCCTTTAGTGAGAAAAACAGATTAAATATGATTACGCAGTTGCACAGCATAACTATTAACAGGAAAATGATTAAAATGTTTGGAATTACCTGTTTGTGTGTATAACAAAAAGTTTACATTAAACTCTAAATCACACTTTGTTGGAACTTCTCTGTTCAAAGATACTAGATCCCAGGACTCACCTCCTATATACTCCTACGTCAAACACCAAACCCACTGGAGAAAGCTGAGTTGCCAACACTGCTTTATGACACATTATTGGGCAAAGTCTCTTCTGAAGGTGACATCTCACATCAGTTAGTTCACATGTGAATGAAACAATGGGTCTGACTTACAATGTTGTCTGCTTCCACATAAACCATACTCATTATTTTTAATATAAACACAATACATACATAATACACCCGGAAGCTGGCATCATTTATCTCCACTATCTATGATCCTCAGAGGTGATTCTCAAATAGAAGGCATCGATACCAGTATCTATATATAATGTGAGAAGAAACTAAAGGGGTGAGTTATAGTATAAGGAAATTCACTGAACTTCAGTGATAAACCATTTTATCCAAACCCCCCGCAAGTTCAGCTGAGCTAACTTTCAGTGCAAGCTGAACTCATCCGGTTCTCTAAATGGCACCTACTCTCGGGTGGCCGCATTTTCTCCACCGGCACTGTCACAAGCGAACATTGGATGTCAATGGAGATGTACACGGAGACACCAGTCAAAAAAGATGCATACTCTACATACCACTGGGACAACAGCTAGCCTTTTCTGCCACACAGACTAATGCAATTCACTCTCATGTTCTAAGTGTGCACGTTCTGTAAGAATACCAGGATATTTGAGATGAAAGAGAAACTAGAGATCAACTAACATGACCTTCTTATTTTGCAATTGGGAAAAATAAAGGGTAGATCCACCCCTGAACCCACCCAAGGCAGAGGTGCAGAGTGGACTAACACTGACCACAGCAAGGTACCAGGACCACAGGAGGTGCTGGGACCTGCAAAGTGGGTAAAGATTTCCAGAATAATCTCCCATTTCAGGTTAAACTAATTCACTGGATGACAATTTCCACAACACAAAGAAAAAACCAGAAACACTAAAGGTGTTACGGTACTTTTATAAAAGAATTACAAAGTGTTTGAATTATCTATGTTTTTATACATAATATGAAAAATTTACATTAAACTCTAAACACACTTTGTTGGGAATTCTTTATTTAAAGACACTAGACAGCACATACTTCTATATCAAACATCAAACTAAACTCATTCAAGACAGATGGAGAGATCAGTATTTATGGAGTGCTCATTACACACAGAACATGTCACTACCTCCAGCTTTAGGAATTATAATATACACAATAAATCCCACATTTCACAATAACTTTACAAATTTTGTAGACTCAGGTCCAGAAGTTGGAAAGTTCAGAAGATGAGACAAACAAAATGCAGTGCTAACAAGTCCTAAGAATGCTGGTTATGGGCAGTTTCTCTCCGTGGTTCCTTACAGAAACAGTCTAAAGCAGGTGTGGCAAACGACAGCCTGCAGGCCAAATCCAGCCTACTACCTGTTGTGTACAGCCTGTGACCTCAGAATGGCTTTTACATTTTCAAATGTTTGCAGGGAAAAAAGAATCAGAAGAATAAAATTTCTTGTTGCATTAAAGTTAGATGAAATTCAGGTTCCGGCGTGCATAATTAGGTTTTATTAGAACACAGCCACACGCACTCAGGTTTTATCTATGGCCCGTTTCCCGCTACATCAACAGGGGCATCAGCTGGTTGGTAATGCCCAAAGTAGGAATACAATGATGCCAGGCGGAGCTAAACAGGTAGAATACCCTTACAAGTCAATAAGAGAAACAGCCTGACTTTCTAAAAAACGGGGAAAGGGCATGAAAACTCAATTTCCAGGAGAAATACAAACAGACAATAAAAATGTGAAAAGATATATACCCTCACTAAAAAGCAAATAAATTTATATTTAAATGACCTGGCTTTTCTTACCTATAAGTTTAGAATTGATTTAAAAGATTTTTAATAACAGTGTTGGAGAATCCAACTGGGTGAGACTGTAAATTGGTTCTTCTGGAAAGCTATCTGAAAATATCATTCAGCATTCGGATGCACAGCTGCTGATCCAGCAATCCCACTTCTAGGAAACTTCCTACAAAAATGTGGAACAGATGCACAAAAATACATGGACAGGTATATGCTCTACAGGACTGTTTTTAATAGAGAAAAACTGGAAAAAAACTAAATGCCCATCAGTAATGGCTTACCTAACCTATAGTAACCTTACGTAGTGTAAGCTTTTTACAAAATTAGGTAAATCTTCATATACTAACATAGAATGAAACAAAAATCCAATATGTCAATAAATGTAAATACACGTATTTGCACACACAGTGGCATGTATATGTAAGGGGGATTAACTTTCATTGTCTACTATATATGTGTCCATATTTGAATTCTTTAAACTCGTTTTCCTTTTATAATAAAAATATGAAACTATGTATTACTATAAATCGTTTCAGATAATATCGTGAATTTACTGCCTGTTTCCACTTATATGTAGAGATTTTCTAACATTGATTTTATTTCTAGACACAGATTGCTACATTTAATGTACAAGTGTATAACAGATTTTCACTTATTATTATCACTTTCAGTTAATCCACTGTGGAATTTTTTAAACGATTTCACCTAATCTGAGAAAGTACCTAGGTATGCTCTGAAGTACAGGCTCTTTCATGAGGACAGGAGTTCTCACTGACTTTCATTCCAAATGAAAGCAAACCCCTCCTCCTCCTCTCAGACATGATTGATGTGGTACCGGTTACCATACCAACAGGAACCTGCAGACTGGTAACTCTGATCCAAAGGAACACCCCAAAGGACACCACAGATAGGAAAGTAGTTTACGCCCATTTGGCAGGCGTCTAGTTTCTACGACTTGTCAATACATCTTCTGTGATTCTTTCCTGATCATACTGCTTTGAACCAATTTACGTTTTCAACCTCACACCACATTTTGAGGCAGAAAGTTTTACAAGTCCATTAAACTTGACAGATGATTATTTCTCCCCACTCATCAATCAGTAATATTCTACTCAAAACCTCCAGACTTCGGTAAACAATTCCATGTTCACCCTGTCTGCGGCTTCTGACCATCAGGAGAGTGAGGCAGGTTCTGAGTACGGCTCTGGAAACCAGACCATGTGGGTCTGCAGTGGGCTCGGGCTCCCGACTTCGGGCAAATGGCTTAACTCGTGTGCTTCAGTTTGCTCGTCTGTAAAATGGGACGGATCCCTGAGGACTACTGTAAGATTTAAAGAAGATCATGTCGTCACTCAGAACAGTATAGCTGGTGTGATTTTACTGGTTTTGACTAGATTCCCTTCGAGCCTGACAGGATTTTAAATATTTACTTTATTCACACTTGGCAGGCTCCTAACCGCTGGCACTTTTCATTGTACCTTCTTTGATGTTTCCCACCTGTCTTTCGTGAGTTAGCGCCACAAATGTACACAACATTCCACTCGTCCTTTCATTTCATTTAACAAGAAACACACTAACCCCTCCCATGTGACAGACATTATTCTACGCACTTGGTGAATGATCACTCATCTTATTCCCTTAACAATCCAACAGAGCAGATACCGTTATTTGTTTTCATCGTCAAGTGGAGGCAACAGTTTCATAGAGAGTATAAATAACTTGTCAAGGTCTCAAGAAACGTGAGAGTCAGAATAAGGAATTGAACCCAGACACTCTGGCTCCTGAGACAGTGCCCGTCAGCCCTGCTGGGCAGCCCCTCGGATATGACATCAAGGGTGAAAGACCACCTCTGGGGCACCGGCATCGCTGGGAAGGAAGGCACAGTTGGCTGATACATACTAAGCATAGGGACATATAGGAATGAGTGATCTGTTGGATATTAACTATGGTCAGACATTTCGAAACCTACCATATTTAAAAGAATATGCTGCTGTAATTCCAGAAATGGGCACCGGAAGTCAGTTCCTCTTTTGAAAGTTTCCCACAGTTTGGTATTTTGAAATTTGAGAAAAACGCGATTTCCAGTATTCATATTATGAAATTACCTTGTATGGCACTGCCCTTGTTTAAATTGAAACTATTCCAAACCTTCATCTAGATAATGGATTTGGGGCTGTTGGAGAAATCTACACTTAATTATGTTGGTTAAATCCCACTCCTTAAAAAATAAAAATAAAAGTTCGCTTGGTTTTTTTTTTCTGTAATGAGGCAAACAAAAAGATACAGGTTTAAATTATGTTGCATTACATTAATGAAGTGCACAATCTGTACTTCTAAGAATCAATCTTTTTGAGTCAAAACATATTTTTCAAACTGTGCCAACACTGGGTAGTTCCATCTGCAATTACGAGGCATCTTATTGCCTCATATTTGAAAATATCCTGGGGGGTATGGAATTTTTACTCTCAGAATCCCAAGCCAAGTTATCCAAAACTTCTCAATCAACCTAACCCCAAAGTCTGGTCCAAGTCTGTGGTAAAACTTGTCGCAAAAAATATGAAGTGAAAGTCATGGAGAATGCCACATTCCCTCAGAAGATCTCCAGATTTCCTCTTTCCCTTTATTTGTTTGGCAAGGAAACATATCTGTCATAGACAACAACTTTTTCAATATAAAAGCAGCCAATACACCCTTTCAAACTTGAATAGATTTAAAGGAAAAATTTTACAGACCTTGGCCCAAAGCTGAATGATGAAATTCCTGAAGTCTTCGGCACTGCACACACAACATCAAATACACAAGAGAGTTCCAAAAATGGCTTCCTAGTGAGTGAAATCACAGATCTCCATTCAAATCTGCAATTTGCTCACCACAGCAGTGAGCGGCTACATTTTCAGTGATTCATATACAGCCAACACTAATCTGGGCACACTGTTCACCCTCTCAACACCACTATGAGTGGTTTATTATCATTAAACCCATTACACAGACGAGGAAACTGAGGCACAGAGCTATTAAATCATTCACCTATGATCTAGTCTCCAATAATTGGTGGATCTGGGAGTCTAACGCCAAAAACCTGGGTCTAATAGCCCTTAGCTCTTAGAAAATATGTTATTTTATCTCTCAGAGACCAAAAGACTAAGACAAATGTCTATATAAATCTATATAAATGAACAGGCCATCCTAATGAACACAAATTTCTGGGAAAAGCAGTCTACAAGGATGCAGGTTTGGTCTGATTTTAGAGTCAACGTTTACTTGCCTACTTGATTGTAATTTGGGGCTATTCTATTTATCTTTCTGCCTCTTATTATTACATATAAGAGGCACTCAAAAAATTCATTGAAAATGTAGATAGCGAAGGTAAACCACAAGAAAGATACAAATGTATATAAAGATAACTGCAACTAAACTAATTTAAGTCCTAGTAGATTAACAGTACATAAGTTTGAAAAAAAAGAGGTTTTTTATTAGAAAATCCCCCAAAGGGATGACTGTGAAGAGGTCTGAGTGACCACACCGCACACATGAAAATGAGGAAGGAAAGCCGGTATAAGAAAGCAGAACGAGGTTGGCTTTACATGCTCTCCACGGCTGACTTCAGTGAGAAGACCCTGAGCCGGTAGCCTCCCAAAGGTGAATTTTCCTTTTTATTATGAGTGGGCTTGCTTACAAAAGGTAGAATATGTTTAAGGGAAAAAAGTGCTTAAGGTTAACATTCTACAAACCATAGACTACCAGCACGAGGAACTATAATGTACAGCAATCCGACGAGAGTTATTACCTCTTAACGGGGGTTTTGTCTTATGGCCATGTTAAGAGCCACACTTGTGAACGAGGCAGAGCCTGTTCTCTGGGTTTCAGGAGGGCAGGGAAAGTAACAGTACTGTTACAAGTACCACAAACCTATTACATGCCTTAAAAATTCTAGCCAGAAACAACACGTTCCCTCTCAACCAATCTACTGAACGTGATGAATGAACATAAGGTGTTGATATGCTACAAACCTTAGTCTGTTTTTAAAAAGTAGCATTTGGAAATCAAGAAACACTCCCTGTGTTACTTTGTGTGTGTGTTTATCTGTAATAGCTGACACTGGAAACCATGAACGCCACGCTGATGAAGGGCGTCAACGGGTCTGAGCGCTGCCCCCGAGACACTCGGATAGCACAGCTGGTGTTCCCAGCCGTCTACACTGTGGTTTTCTTCACCAGCATCCTGCTGAACACGCTGGCCCTGTGGGTGTTTCTCCGCATCCCCAGCTCCTCGACCTTCATCGTCTACCTCAAAAACACCGTGGTGGCTGACTTGATAATGACGCTCACGATTCCGTTCAAAATCCTCACCGACTCACACCTTGGACCCTGGCAGCTCCGAGCCTTTGTGTGTCGTGTCTCTGCCGTCATCTTTTATGCGACCATGTATGTGGGCATCATACTGCTAGGCCTCATAGCCTTTGACAGGTTCCTCAAGATCATCAGACCTTTTGGGAAATTTTTCGTACAAAAACCTGCTTTTGCAAAAATAGTCTCAACCGTCATCTGGTTCCTTTTGTACCTCCTCTCTCTGCCAAACGTCATCTTAAGTAACAAGGAAGCCACACCGTCATCTGTGAAGAAGTGTGCCTCCTTAAAGGGTCCTCTGGGGCTGAAATGGCATCAAGTGGTGAATTACATATCCCAGGTCATCTTCTGGACTGTTTTTGTCCTAATGCTTCTGTTTTATGTGGTGATTGCAAAACAAGTATACAATTCTTATAGAAAGTCCAAAAGTAAGGAGAGCAAAAGCAACAAGAAGCTGGAAGGTAAAGTATTCATTGTTGTGGCTGTCTTCTTTGTGTGCTTTGCTCCGTTTCATTTTGCCAGAGTGCCGTATACGCACAGCCAGACCAACAGTAGGACTGACTGCCGGGTGCAAAACCACCTGTTTATAGCTAAAGAATCAACTCTCTTTTTGGCAGCAACTAACATTTGTATGGATCCCTTAATATATATATTCTTATGTAAAAAATTCACAGCAAGGCTACCATGTACGAGAGGGAGAAAGATCGCAGCATCAACCCTAGAAAATCAAACCAGTCAGACTGACAATAACATAAACCTAGGCTGATAAGTTGATCATGGTTAACTTCTATTTATCCACAAGACTTCAAAAGACAGTTTATTTGGAAATCAAATTTAAGCAATGAAAGAAAAAAGGGTTGGAACAAATGCTATCTTACATTTTATTATCCTGGTGCAGAAAAGATTATGTTAATTTTAATGCCACATAGATCTATTCATAAGCAGAATGAAGTGTCACTGAAAGAATGCAACAGAAAGCCAACGGCCACTAGAGGTCGCCTTTTTGAGAGCATTTACTGAAATTTGGGAAAAGATTTCTTATGGATAAATGTATATTCCTAAAAACCTCCCCTCCAAAACACCTTCTGCTATTCTTTCACACACATAATTCAAACAACACTACTGCTTTTGTATCCCACAAATGTCGATACTTGCTGATTTTAAAAAAACAAACTTGAGGGCCCTGCCCGGTGGCATAGTGGTTAAGTTCTCGAGATCCGCTTCTCGGGGGCCAGGGTTCACACCTTTGGATCCCAGCACGGACCTGTGCACGGCTCCTCAAGCCATGCTGTGGCAGACATCCCACATATAAAGTGGAGGAAGATGGGCATGGATGTTGGCCCAGGGCCAGTCTTCCTCAGCAAAAAGAGGGGGACTGGCAACAACAGGTGTTAGCTCAGGGCTGACCTTCCTCACACACACACACACACACACACACACAAAACAAACCATGAAAGTCCTGGGGTGAAAGCTGAAGCTAGGGGTTGAAAAGCATGCTAGACAGGAAGCCTCCGGGGAGCCGGGATGAAGGAGCTTCTCCTTAGAATCACAGAGAGCCTCTTTCTCACTATTCCAGCACACCATGGGGCACAAGCACCAGGATTACACCACACACACACATTGTTATACTGTTGTACTTTGCTCACATCCTAATATGTACAACTCAACAGAAAGAATACTGTATTATTCTTCTTTGGAATTCTCTCTCTGCCCAGCAAACACCCTACTGGCAGTCGAGTATGCGGCCTACTCAGCAAAGCCTTCCTGGGCCACAGCCTCTGCTCTCCTGTCTCACCTTTGGCTGACAATCACGACTTCTCCCACTGTTTGGGTGCAAGTGAGCGCTCTCACTGCACATTTCCCTTTACAAGTTAGCTGCATTCTTGACTGCAGCCCCCACAGGCAGTCAGGATTCTTTAAGGAAGACAACATCTTTTGAAGACAGAAAACATGTCATGTTTTCTTGGTATCTCACACACTACTCCCCACAGACCATGGATTACAAACGTTTTAAATAGACTCCGTCATCGTTTTGCCATTCTGGGTACCTATATACTGCTGACCCACGATCGGTAACGTCCATACTGGGAAAGTTTTCATAGGATGGTGACCTACCAGTACTCATTTACCTCCGTATTTTTTCCTGAATCCCTTCGTGGTTCAAAAAAACTAAAATATGCTTATCTGGAATTGTGGACACTGATCTATATCTTCTCGAGAAAATGCACACAGCAGTCGTGCTCTGTAACTGTGCAGGTAGCTCCAATATGAGCATCCTAAGGGGAAGCCCAGGCCTCCTTCCACAGCCTCAAAGGCCCTGAAGGCCCTGGAACTTGCCTCCTTTTCTTGCCTTGTCTCCTACCTGCTCTTCTATCCGGGAACCTCACACACTGTATAAACGTGTAACTGCCAGAACATGCCATGCTCCTTCCACTCCTGTGCCATTGCACATGCAAATTTCCCTCTGACTCATAAGAAAAACTCTTATTCATCCATGAAACCCTAAGTTGCCACCACTTGGGCCACGGAATTTCATCTGGCCAACCTCCCACCACCTCAAACCCAATCCCTCCCTCATCTGTATGTTGTCACACTTCAATTTTTGTACTTATCACATTGCTTTGTAATTACTTGCTCACACATGTATCTACTCTTTTAATAACCTATGTATACTTTTGAGGGCAGAGATTATATCTCATTGTGCAATCAATAAATATTTGATAAAATAAACCAAACTGGTTTTATTTTTACATACTAGAGAAGCAAAAGGGAAGCCAATTCCTACTGATGTTTTTCTCATCAAAAGATGACATAAATTTCTTGAAAGCTCAAGGTCTTCTCAGCTGCCTTCCTACAACACGTACACAGGGGCCTAGGGAGGGGGCGTGTTCCTGGGTTCACTTGTGAATGATTGTGAAGGAGGCAGGATTACTCAACAGTACCTGTATAGCGTGGGGACTAATGTCCATCAACATTTCAGTTTTACAGCTATTGACAAAACGCTTTAGCTATGCACTGTTGGTTTTGGTTAAGGATAACTTGTAAGTGTAGCATATTACAGTCTCCAAAACTCTCCTTTTAGAAAGTACCCGTCTCATTTTCATTCTCTCAAATAAAAGAATGAAATCATAGTAACTGTTAGAGATGACACTAAATCCACATTACTTTTACTGAGTACATCACATAATCGTGACTAGACTCCAACACTGTATTATAAGTAACTGCATCTAGATAATGTATGCAATTTTTAGAAAGATCTTTCAAGATAAAGTTTCAAAAGCAAATCTGTCCTCCATAAGTTCAAATATTTAATTCCATTATAACAACATTATAGTCAAAAACAGAGTAGCCGATGTGCAGAATGAAATAATCTACCAAGAACTTGCAGAAGTGGTATCTTAGAGCCATCTTAAAATCACATTCACAAAATGCAAAGAAACTATTTGAGGAGAACTTCCCAAACTAAGGATCACAGGTACTAAATTCTAGAATACTTACAGAATGAATGCTATGCCATTAATGACACACAGAGTAAAAAGAAAAAGAGTAGTAGCTCTGATATAGTGTGTGAGCTCAGAACACTATTAAGGGCTTTTGTCAAAAGCTAAACTGTAATTATTTTTACTGGACAAGGGCTTCTGAATATCCCCAGGGAGGCAGAAGGGGAAGGAGTATTGCCCTACACAGCAGAATTCTTGGAAACCAAGAAAGATTACTGTAAAGGAGGAAGGAAGAGGCAGATGAGCAGTGTGAGTTCCCAACTCACAGAAGTTAGAAGGCTAATTAAGTCATCATCACATCTAGAAAAGAGCTAGCCAACCTTATTAACCCATTACTTTATATACTCCATATCCATTTAAAAGCAGTTCCTTCCATAACTTGCTCAAGTCTCCTTTCTAAAAATGTCTGACCATTAGCCCAGGTAAACTGTATTCCTCTAACAAGTTAATAGATTCAAGTTCATATGGATCCTAAAAAAACAAAACCTCCAGAGCAGAGGTGTCCACCCCAGCAGTGCCCAGTGTCCACGGGAACACACATTGAGAGACAGCAACCCTACCCAGGAAAGTGTGAAATTTAGAAATCATTGGAAGCACCTACAAACACAACTCAACCTCTTCAATTTTACAGGAAAACCAAATGCAGGTAACATGAATATAGAACAAAGGTGTTAAATGAGTAGTTCTCAAGCTTCAGTGGGTACGAGAACCAGTTGGAGGGATTCTGAAAACACCCGCCTCCCGGACCCAGAGTGCGTGATTCAGTGGGTCTGGGGTGAGGCCCGAGAGCAGGTTTCCAGGTGATGCTGATGTCTGGAGCACACATGAAGAACCACTGTGCTACACGTTCCTAAGGCTTGCACTCCCATAAAGACTGATTCACAGCACAGCTGTCTTGGACATCAATGCCCAAGAGTGGGAACTGTCAACAGGAGACAGGCAAAATTGTTATTAAGAGAGCAGGTCAGATTAAGGTGCCGGGCAGTGGCAAGGACGATGGTTCCCTGGAATGTCCATGCCCCACTGAAGGGACATCTACTGTGCTGGGCCAACTGCTGGCACAGGAGGGAATCTGGGCCCAGGGCTGCCGGCCAGGAGCAGCAGCAGGAGTGAAACCAGAATGAGTGACAACAGCAGCAGCACACACGTTACCTCTCTTCACTAGGGACCAGACGAGTGGACAAGGAGCTTTAAATACATCATCCCATTTAATAATCCCAGGAAACCTGTCGAGTGCTACTGTTAACTCCATTCTAGAGATAAACAAGTTGAGAAACAGAGAAGTTAAACAACTTGTATGGGGTCACACAGCCTTTAAGCAGCAGGGCTAGGACTCGAATTTGGACTCTGGCTTCTGAGCCCATAAACTTAACCACTGCATCTGCACCCTCGGATCTCCTAATGTTCTCAAGGGAAATCATAAATCCAGTCTCCTATGCTGTACTTCCTGTGAATTTCAAGACTTCCATAGCCACCCCCACACTCCCTGACCCACAAAAACACCACATCCATGTGCGGGCCAGAACTACCTAGGTGCTGCCAGCTAACGCACCCTGCCCTAGAAGCTAACCAGACCCCAGGACTCGCACCAGCAGCTCACACCCATTTACTGAGTGCCTGCTCTGTGCTGGGCCCGTGCTCTGTGCTTTAAAACGATCATCACCTCTATTTCTCAGTACAGCCCTCTGAGATAGATACTACAAGGCTCCTTGTTGGGGGGAAACCGAGGCACCAAGTGAACGGAAACCTTGCCCATGGCACACACGACCCACCAGCAAGCAGAGACAGAGATGGGATGGAAACCCGGGCAGGCGGCCCCCAGACCAACACCTCCAGGCTCTGCTACATGGCCTCTCTGACGGTCGGGACAAGCTGAAGTCCTCAGGGGCGGACATCAAGGCCCAGCAGCGAGAAGGGTAAGGAGACGGCCCCTGAGCACGGAGGAGGGGTCTCAGCACGAACGGACTTCAACAACCTCGGTATGAATGGTTCAACCATGGACCCTACAAGTACTGTGGGGGAGCCACAGCCCTCGAGAGCTCCTGAGAGGAGGCACCTCCCGAAGGGGGGCCTCACTGCATCCTTTAGGTGCTCCTTCCTTCCACGGGCCCCTCCCTGAGTGCAGGCCTTCCCCGCTCTGGAAGCCGCAAATGGTCAGGCACACAGGCCACAATGAATCCACGTGTGGTAAGTGGTATGAGAGACATGACTAACTCACCGCAGAAGCTCAGAGAAAAAGGTAGCTAGTTTCAAAGAGAGAAAATGAGGAAGGACTCGCAGCAGACAGCCAATTGAACTGCATCTTGAAGGAGAAAACACAGCATTCAAAAGAGAACACCCAAGCACAGTGAGCAGTTTTTTGTTTTTTTTGTTTTTTGTGAGGAGATCAGCCCTGTGCTAACATCTGCCAATCCTCCTCTTTTTTTGCTGAGGAAGACTGGCCCTGGGCTAAAATCCATGCCCATCTTCCTCCACTTTATATGGGACGCCGCCACAGCATGGCTTGACAAGCAGTGCGTCAGTGCATGCCCGGGATCCAAACCTGCGAACCCCAGGCCGCCACAGCGGAGGGTGCACACTTAACTGCTTGCGCCACCGGGCAGGCCCAGTGAGCAGTTTTGAGGAAGGCTCCGGGAGGGTGGGCTCGGCACTGTGGCTGGAGCCTGAGGGGC